CTGACACTGACACTGTTCAATGAGTCATGCATTTTGGAAAGCGTTTTGGTCTGACACTGACACTGACACTGTTCAATGAGTCATGCATTTTGGAAAGCGTTTTGGTCTGACACTGACACTGACACTGTTCAATGAGTCATGCATTTTGGAAAGCGTTTTGGTCTGACACTGACACTGACACTGTTCAATGAGTCATGCATTTTGGAAAGCGTTTTGGTCTGACACTGACACTGACACTGTTCAATGAGTCATGCATTTTGGAAAGCGTTTTGGTCTGACACTGACACTGACACTGTTCAATGAGTCATGCATTTTGGAAAGCGTTTTGGTCTGACACTGACACTGACACTGTTCAATGAGTCATGCATTTTGGAAAGCGTTTTGGTCTGACACTGACACTGACACTGTTCAATGAGTCATGCATTTTGGAAAGCGTTTTGGTCTGACACTGACACTGTTCAATGAGTCATGCATTTTGGAAAGCGTTTTGGTCTGACACTGACACTGACACTGTTCAATGAGTCATGCATTTTGGAAAGCGTTTTGGTCTGACACTGACACTGACACTGTTCAATGAGTCATGCATTTTGGAAAGCGTTTTGGTATGACACTGACACTGACACTGTTCAATGAGTCATGCATTTTGGAAAGCGTTTTGGTCTGACACTGACACTGACGCTGTTCAATTAGTCATGCATTTTGGAAAGCGTTTTTGTCTGACACTGACACTGACACTGTTCAATGAGTCATGCATTTTGGAAAGCGTTTTGGTCTGACACTGACACTGTTCAATGAGTCATGCATTTTGGAAAGCGTTTTGGTCTAACACTGACACTGTTCAATGAGTCATGCATTTTGGAAAGCGTTTTGGTCTGACACTGACACTGACACTGTTCAATGAGTCATGCATTTTGGAAAGCGTTTTGGTCTGACACTGACACTGACACTGTTCAATGAGTCATGCATTTTGGAAAGCGTTTTGGTATGACACTGACACTGACACTGTTCAATGAGTCATGCATTTTGGAAAGCGTTTTGGTCTGACACTGACATGTTCAATGAGTCATGCATTTTGGAAAGCGTTTTGGTCTGACACTGACACTGTTCAATGAGTCATGCATTTTGGAAAGCGTTTTGGTCTGACACTGACACTGTTCAGTGAGTCATGCATTTTGGAAAGCGTTTTGGTCTGACACTGACACTGACACTGTTCAATGAGTCATGCATTTTGGAAAGCGTTTTGGTCTGACACTGACACGGACACTGTTCAATGAGTCATGCATTTTGGAAAGCGTTTTGGTCTGACACTGACACTGACACTGTTCAATGAGTCATGCATTTTGGAAAGCGTTTTGGTCTGACACTGACACTGTTCAATGAGTCATGCATTTTGGAAAGCGTTTTGGTCTGACACTGACACTGACACTGTTCAATGAGTCATGCATTTTGGAAAGCGTTTTGGACTGACACTGACACTGTTCAATGAGTCATGCATTTTGGAAAGCGTTTTGGTTGACCACTGACAATCCGTTCAATGAGTCATGATTTGGAAAGCGTTTTGGTCTGACACTGACACTGACCACTGCGTCAATTGAGTCACGCATTTTGGAAAAGTTTGGTCTGACACTGGACAGGACACGTTCAAGAGGTCATGCATTTGGAAAGCGTTTTGGTCTGACCACTGACACTGCACTGTTCAATGAGTCAGCATTTTGGAAAGAGTTTTGGTCTGGACACTGACACTGTTCAATGAGTCATGCATTTGGAAAGCGTTTTGGGTTATAACACTGACAAATGTTCAATTGGGTCATGCATTTTGAAAGCGTTTTGGTCTGACACTTGACACTGACACGCTCAATGAGTCATGCATTTTGGAAAAGCGTTTTGGTCGAACACTGGCACTGACTGTTTCAATGAGTCAGCATTTTGGAAAGCGGTTTGGTCTTCTGACACTGACACTGACACTGTTCAATGAGTCATGCATTTTGGAAAGCGTTTTGGTCTGACACTGACACTGACACTGTTCAATGAGTCACGCATTTTGGAAAGCGTTTTGGTCTGACACTGGCACTGACACTGTTCAATGAGTCATGCATTTTGGAAAGCGTTTTGGTCTAACTTACTGACACTGTGCAATGAGTCATGCCATTTTGGAAAAGCTTTTGGTCTGACACTGACATGACACTGTTCAATGAGCATGCATTTTGGAAAGCGTTTTGGTCTGAACACTGACACTGACACTGTTCAATGAGTCACGCATTTTGGAAAGCGTTTTGGTCTGACACTGGCACTGACACTGTTCAATGAGTCATGCATTTTGGAAAGCGTTTTGGTCTGACACTGACACTGACACTGTTCAATGAGTCATGCATTTTGGAAAGCGTTTTGGTCTGACACTGACACTGTTCAATGAGTCATGCATTTTGGAAAGCGTTTTGGTCTGACACTGACACTGACACTGTTCAATGAGTCATGCATTTTGGAAAGCGTTTTGGTCTGACACTGACACTGACACTGTTCAATGAGTCATGCATTTTGGAAAGCGTTTTGGTCTGACACTGACACTGACACTGTTCAATGAGTCATGCATTTTGGAAAGCGTTTTGGTCTGACACTGACACTGACACTGTTCAATGAGTCATGCATTTTGGAAAGCGTTTTGGTCTGACACTGACACTGACACTGTTCAATGAGTCATGCATTTTGGAAAGCGTTTTGGTCTGACACTGACACTGACACTGTTCAATGAGTCATGCATTTTGGAAAGCGTTTTGGTCTGACACTGACACTGACACTGTTCAATGAGTCATGCATTTTGGAAAGCGTTTTGGTCTGACACTGACACTGACACTGTTCAATGAGTCATGCATTTTGGAAAGCGTTTTGGTCTGACACTGACACTGACACTGTTCAATGAGTCATGCATTTTGGAAAGCGTTTTGGTCTGACACTGACACTGACACTGTTCAATGAGTCATGCATTTTGGAAAGCGTTTTGGTCTGACACTGACACTGACACTGTTCAATGAGTCATGCATCTTGGAAAGCGTTTTGGTCTGACACTGACACTGTTCAATGAGTCATGCATTTTGGAAAGCGTTTTTGTCTGACACTGACACTGACACTGTTCAATGAGTCATGCATTTTGGAAAGCGTTTTGGTCTGACACTGGCACTGACACTGTTCAATGAGTCAGGCATTTTGGAAAGCGTTTTGGTCTGACACTGACACCGACACTGTTTTGGAAAGCGGTGTGGTCTGACACTGACACTGACACTGTTCAATGAGTCATGCATTTTGGAAAGCGTTTTGGTCTGACACTGACACTGACACTGTTCAATGAGGCATGCATTTTGGAAAGCGTTTTAGTCTGACACTGACACTGACACTGTTCAATGAGTCATGCATTTTGGAAAGCGTTTTGGTCTGACACTGACACTGACACTGTTCAATGAGTCATGCATTTTGGAAAGCGTTTTGGTCTGACACTGACACTGACACTGTTCAATGAGTCATACATTTTGGAAAGCGTTTTGGTCTGACACTGACACTGACACTACAGTGTTTTGCTTTTGCTTCGGAATTCGTACTGGATCAATTTGTTGCACCCACAAAGCCCTCCGAAATTGGCCAGTTGGCATGAAAGAATGAACCTAAACCCTTGGAACCAGCTACTCGACTTCCTCACCACCAGCCATGCAAGTTTGGATCCAACAGGGTCCGGCGAGAGTGAGCCCTCTTGTCGACTCGCACTCACCACGGCTTCCCACCGTCTAAAACCGTGGTGGACACCCCGCGGGGACGCAGGGACCACCGAGTGATGCCTCAGGCAGGAGGCCCCTTGGGGGCAACGGTTCAAAGATTCACGGGGATCGTCCCCAAACCATGACGAGCTTACAGCAGGCCGCCAGACCTTGAAAGAATTGCTGCCTTGACCTGAACAACGTACCCATCGATGCTACGAATGTCCATGTTTCTGGCAACGTTGGAAAACGCTCCACCTCCACCTACCATTCATTACCTCCACCATCCTCCACCTACTAAACTTCCCTTGCAGGCAACATTTCTTGCAGGCAACAATGCGAAGATTTATTGATGGACATGTTCAACCTCAAACATACCAGTAAATTCACCATTTATTTGGATCATATCTTGGGAAAACCTGGTCATGGTTCTGGTGTCAGGTGCTTCACCCTTGCAGGGGCGCACCCTCAACCGCAGGACGGGAAAAACGGCAGGCTATATACACCAGGGTTGGCTGTACTCTGACAACCTCGCTTGTGCCCTGTCCTTCCTGAGAAGGAGACATAAAATGTGATGATGTCACTAGTCGTAGCCCATTTTCAGCAATATGGTCCCAAATGGCTGTTTGAAACTTATAGTTCATAAAGTCGCCTTAAATCAATCCAATATTCATTAATGAAATTAAGGTGACTATTGTTTTCTTTTTAAAACGTTCTTCAACCCGGAAGTAATGTCTCTTTGTTTCCGCAAAATCTTCAAACGTGGACCATATAAAATGTAGGTTGCTGTTGAACGGGTCTGTCTGAAAATGTGGAACGAACTTCCCCCAGTCTTTCATCACCAGTTGGTTCATGGGGAACAACATTATGTTCAAACAGTTTTGAACATGTTTGACATTTGATGTCCTGAACTGAAAAAATGACTTATTCTACCCAAAAAAGTAGTGATAATCCAAAATTATTCCAGGAGACAATTAGAGCTATTTCCAATTTTCGAAGGTATCTTGGATTTATCAACGTCGTGCCCCCCAGTCATAGGTTAGTTAATAGCATTTTGTGACCCATTAACTAGTTCGATATATCTACCATAGGTCCTAGTTATTAGGTCTACAAGCCAACTTGGCTATCATAAATCAGCTATCCAATCCCCAGTTTTCTTGGATCATCATTTTCCCATGGGATTGGTCCGGTTTTTTCAGCCTTCTTCTCCCCAAGATTTTCAGACAACTCCCCTGGGCCACGTGGCGCCGCGTGCGGTCAGGGGGAGGAGCGGGTGGAGTGTCGACTGGACGAGCGCGCGGGCGCGTCGGGCGAGGGACTGCCGCTGCGGGAGGAGGCCGAGGTGTGCGAAAACCTCGGCCGAGGCCCAGGACGATGCGACGATGGAAATGGGAAAGCTATAGCTGGTTAATGGATGGTCATTCCCCAAAAATATGGTAAGAACAGATTTTGACATGTTTTGACCCACTGCCATGTGGTGCCCCAGGTATTACAGTTGGTTTATAACATCATTACAGTAGTCTATAGTTGGAAATATCATGATATATCTAGCAAAAGTCCTATAGTTATGAGATTTCTAAGCCAGCTATCTTGGGGGCACCACCTTGAATGCCAATGTTGATTAGACATACAACAATAAACCATTCAATATTTTGTTTGGTACCCAACTTTAAGGCACACCCATGTTTTCTAGTTCGGAAGAACCAAGAGAAAATGATTGGGGCAAGCTGGCATCAGTCTTGGATCATTTTCTATGATTATCATACCTGACAATATCATTCAGCTATATATATATACATAACATATAAACATAACATAACATGACTATAAATGATGCAGAGATGATCAAGAAATAACTAGACATAACTATATAATCATAACTATAACTATAAATAGCTATATAAAAAATAACTATATATATATATTGTCTTAGCTTCATTTCAGTGGCCCTGATCTGGCCCATTTGGACAATCTTGCAAGAGCAAACAACCAACAGTGCAGCCCCCAAATCACCCAGGTCGGAGACACCCAAACATCATATCTTCGTTAGATATATGATATATGCCATATATCATATATCCAAAATATGTCCGAAATCAAAGGACCCATAGTTGTTGGTGATATTCCCATAAAGAATAGTTGCTTGTATCATGTGTCCCCCATTTTCTATGAAAAAACATGTTGTTGTACTCTCCAGTAATTGAACGTAGCTGTGGAGTTTTGAATGGGAAGTACTGGAACTCTATACCATGGCTATGGAACAAATTACCAGAGGGTAGTTGATTCTCCTATCAACATATGAGTTGTTCATTGCCTGGTTTCAATGACCCCTGCGTGTAAGAACCGATTGCTGCATCAAAGCAGTGCTGCATGCATGGTGTATTTACCCGCAGGACGAGGGTATTTTGGGTGCACCATTATAACATAACATTCACCTACATGTGGGTCGATTGTTCTGTGAGTGTAAATGATGTTAAATAAACATTAGATACGTGGAGCATTAGGGTATTAGTAAATCAACATATCTGCATCCATCAGACATGGAACAAATACACGCCACGCAAACCCCGCGTTTATTCAGTGCCATGGATCCAGGTTTCAGAAAACAAACAAGATCAAACTCACAAAGGAAGCGTCCAGCCAAAACAAAAAAAACACAAACCATCACTGGTTGGTGGTATACCTACCCCTCTGAAAAAATATGACAGTCAGTTGAGATGATTAATCCCAACTGAATGGAAAAACATGTTCCAAAGCACCAACCATCAATATCCATCTATCATGTGGTTGCATAATTTTCTTAGTTTGACTTGTTGAGCCAGACATTGACCAACTTTACCAGGAAAAGAAATATCGATATGGTGATGACCAAAAACAACTACTGCAACGCCCTGGTGAAAATATGGCGTTCAGTGATTTTACCCTTCCCATCTTCATGTCTGATAACTTATCAATTTCCTTTAGTTAAAAAGCCATGTCTAATGATTAAATCCCGTTGAATTATGGCCCATGTCTGAATGATTGAAACCGTTGAATTATTGAATCCCAAACAAGAAATAATTTTCTGAATGAAACTGATTAATCATCTGAATTTCTTTGACAAATTTCTGATGATTAAACCCTGATCTTTGGCACATGACAACTGAATCCCTATGTGTTTGACCCATTGGCATCCCTTGGCATCCCCATGTTGGAACGCGAGATTTTCTAACTGGAACGATGATTCCTGACCCCTCCAAAAAAATGGTAAGATACCGTGTATATAAATAGAATAAATAAATATATCATAGATACATGGATGATCTGTCAATATAAATCAATATAAATATGTTAATGAAAGATCATGAAACCGTGACAACATATAAATCATCTGTCCCCATGCTTCTTACCCATATGCTCCATCTATTTACCAACATTTGCCAGTCATGTAATTAAAGAAAAAACAGCACCATGGAGGCTCCATGGCTTATCAAAATTCCATATATTTACCATTGTTTTCCCTGGTTGGTGGTTCCAACCCCTCTGAAAAATATGAAAGTCGGTTGGGATTATTATTCCGAATATAATATATGGAAAGTCCTAAAATTCATGTTCCAAACCACCAGATTACAGTAAGTGATGTCATCTTCTGTTCCTCAAATCACAGTTCCATATAAAAAAATCCACCAACCAGTAAATATTGGTTAACCATATATTTCCATATACCCTCTGGCAATTTAACATAGCTATTGAACATGGCCCAGTCGACATAGTTGATGTACCCACTAAAAATGGTGGATCTTTCCATAGTTACGTTAGTTTACCAGAGGGTATTTCCATTTCCTGGGGAATTTACCAACATTTACCCCATAAATGACCCAAATGTAGGTAAATATACCATACATGGAGCACATGGGTATATGTCCATATATTTCCATATAATTTCCCATGGGTTTTCTCCATGCTTCGTATCAAATCCCCACTTTGCTGCGCCGATTTGTCCCCGGCGCCTCCGCACCGCCTCCGTAGCGGAGCCCGCCGGGACGATGACGATCTGCGGCGAGGCGTCGTGGCCGTGGCATCCGTGGTCCTCGGGGCCAGCAACGTTGGGGAAAATCCATGGGAAAACCATGGGAAAACCAGGGAAAACCATTGTTTATCCTGTTATTTATAGGGTTTCAACCATCCTTTTGGTGGGATGGTGGAAGAAACTCACCAGTTGATAGGTGTTTTTTCCTGTTATTTTGATAGGCTTTCAACTAGTTTCAGCCATCCTTTTGCAAGATTGCTGCCATCCACAGTGGATGGGTCAAGTTACCTTGTACCCCTGTAGCATCAAAACAGCTGGAATTGATGGATGTTCAGTTCATCACCCCAAAAATGGTGTCGGTATTGATCCATAGTCAGCCATGTAGTCCTGCAACTTCCAGGGTGCAAGAACAAACTGGTGGTTTCTACCCCAAGAAAACTCAGTCGTTGTTCCTTGAAACTGGAAAATCATGATGGGAAACAAATTACCAGGTGAGTTGGAGAAAACCAAGTAAACTAAGTAAACCAAACATCACCATTTGAACAAGGATAAAATATGATAAAATAGGAATCATACGTGGGACAATATATGGAATATCTATATATATATATATATCATTATATATCTGTGCCATGATCCATGGTGGCTAGTTTCAACCATCCCTTATTGGGAAATCTCTCACTGGATCCCTATGGATTGATGAGATGCGAAAACAGATGACATGATTTGACCATTTGACCGTACATATGGGAAAACCACGGTTAAAACCACCAACAAGTGGGTTATATAACCAACACTTAAGTAATGTTCATAGGGAAAAACATAGTTACATAATGTTACATAGTTTCAATGGTTGTGAAGATTTTGTTCGGCACTTCCCAAACTAATGACCAACATGAAGAAGGCAATGGCTTACGTAAAACGCCAACAGCAGAACATTTCTAACTCTGAAGGGCTCTTAAATGTACGTGAACTGCTCTTGGACTTTGGAGCTGTCACCACCGAATTTAGGATTGCCCCATGTCACCACATTCCCATCTGCCAGAATCGAGGCAAAAGCATAGGATGTGCCGCAAATCTGTTGCACATTCCTAAGCTGATGTTGGACTTTGGAGCTGTCACCGCCACGGTCTGGAACGCCCCATGTCACCGTGCTGCCATCTGCCAGAATCGCCGCAAATGCATGCTCTATGCCACAAATCTGCTGAACATTTCTAAGTTGACTTTGGACGCTGGAGCTGTCCCCACCAGCGCTTACGCCCCATGTCACGACACTTCCATCTGCCAAAACTGCAGCAAAAGCAAAGTCCGTGCCACAAATCTGCTGAACATTCTTGAGCTGGTCTTTGACTCCAGGGCTGTCACCAGCAAAATCAGGATTTCCCCATGTCACCACAGCTCCATCTGTCAAGACTGCAGCAAAACCATAGGATGAGCCACAGATCTGCTGAACATTCCTGAGCTGAGCTTGGACCCTGGAGCTGTCACCGCCATTGAACCGATGGCCCCATGTCACCACACGTCCATCTGCCAAAATGGCAGCAAGAGCACCCTGTGTCCCACAAATCTTCCGAACATTCTTGAGCTGATCTTGGACTCCGGAGCTGTCACCACCATAGTCTGGGCTGCCCCAGGTCACCACAGTCTGATCTGCCCGAAGTGCAGCAAAAGCATGGCGTGTGCCATAAATCTGCTGCACATTCCTCAGCTGATCTTGGACTCTAGAGCTGTCACCGCCATAGTGTGGAACTCCCCATGTCACCACAGTCCCATCTGCTCGAATCGCAGCAAAAGCATTGCCTGCGCCACAAATCTGCTGAACATTCCTGAGTTGAACTTGGACTCTGGAGCTGTCGCCGCCATAGTCTGGAACGCCCCAAGTCACCACGCTTCCGTCTGCCAAAAGCGCAGCAAAAGCATAGTCCGTGCCACAGATCTTCTGGACTTTGTGCAGCTGATGTGTGATTGCGATGCTGTCACCGCCACTCTGGGGATCACCCCATGTGACAATTCTATCACCTCCAACACACCACAAAGCAAACGCACGAGATGTTGAAGCTATCTTTGGCTGCTGTGCAACAGCAGCAATGCTGTCTCCATCTTGAAGCCCAGAAAATCGCAGAGAGTCCATTGGATTCAAAGGACGTCCGTCAAGGGCAGCCAGCTTCAGGAAGCCCTGCCCAAGGGCCAGTTGTACAGCCATTTTCAAGTCAGCAATGGTTCCAGCCTCCGCGACTTCAACGGTTTCACGCCGGTCACGCAAGCAGACCTGCAAGTTGATGGATGCAGGCACTGGACCGCGCGCGGGAATGCTGCCCATGGCACGGCTGCGACAAGGTATGGTGCAATCACCTCCTCTGCTAAGGAATGACCGGAAAATCATTGTCATCTTTAAATATAATATCTTGTCTCTTGAGTTGTTGAGAGCTAAGACCCAGTACGAGTACTATGATAATCGAATTGAAGCTAGGATCACTGATTCTAAAGTACAAGTTGGGGCCCTGTAGATAGCCAAATTGGAAAAACAACAACTACTACTATATTACTACTATCTGGTTTATGGCATAATTCAAACTCTAGTAATTCATACGCTTAAAAAACCAACAATTACATCATTTGGGCTCACCTTCGATGTCCACATCCGCGGCCAAACCCTGATCACGTGAAGACACGATATCTTCCAGTTGGTGAATGGTGGGTATCTGGGGCAAATAATGAAACATAATGACACATACAGTTATGGCCATGGCCCGAAATACCAGTTATAAGTACTGAAATACCGCATACTAATGGAATGTATAATCCCATTTTATAAGCAGTTATAACCAGGTATAACTGGTAAAGGACCAAAACTGTATGCTCCATCCAAGAACATGAGCTCACTTCAAAGGTCATCTTGGGAAACTGCTGCACAACGTATCACAGGTTTTGCTGACCCCCCAATAGGTCAAATTTCCTCATGCATTTCGATAAAATCTGTGGAATGAAACGTGTGCAACAGCAAACATCTATTTATATATACATATTTGGGAAAGTCTACTGGACAAAGCACGTCCGCGCAATCAAAAGCTTGGCCACCACTTCCCATGGTGTGGCCAAACTGCCAGGCTAAATCGCCATTCAGCCGCTCCATCTACAAGTATGCTGGTGTATGTATGGGCTTGTCTGAAAAAACGGTACCCTAAAAAAAGTAACCCATTCAATGTTGATCCTGTATAAGATCTCAATTTCATGTGATGTTCACAAACCCCAAAAGTTGAAAACTGCGTTATCTATGTCAGTATATCACTGTTTTTCTTGATCAAATCCATTTATATTCCGTGCTGTCGACGATCCACTATACCACTTTGGTTTAGAACCTTATTTTCCCATGTCTTTCCCATGTATTTTGGCCGTGCCTTATGACATCCCCATCGAATCCCTACCAAATCCCACCTTTTCTCAGCTTTATTATTTAACATAGCCATGGAAAATGGCCCATTTATAGATGGTTTACCTACTAAAAAATGGTGATTTTCCATGGCCATGTTACATAACCAGATGGTAAGTTTTTATTATCCGGCCCCATCTTTCAAGGCTTTCATCCCCGCGCCGTGCTGCGAACAAAATCTCAGCGAAGCATCTCCACAGCCACATTCCTCATCCGAAGCAGCCGAAGATCCGCCCTCTTGGAGCGGCAATTCACCGGGTAAACCTCAGAGGCGGTGCTGGTGGATGAATTTATTCCTATCCCATATGATCCATGGTGCTGGAATATTTACCACCATTTACCCCATAAATGGCCCAAATGTAAGTACATATACGCGCAAACCACCCAGTTCGCCCACACAACTTCTTAGGGATTTTGAAGGAATATAAATTCCGACCCCCGCTAAACTTTACATTCAATTGCGAGATCAACAAGGGTATTAGGAATATAAATTCCCACCCCCGTTAAACTTCTACATTCATTGAAGATCTTCAATAAGGGTTTAGTTCTCCCAACCCCGTCACAAACTTCTACATTCATTGGAGATCTTCAATAAGGGTTTAATTCTCCCGCCCCCTTCAAACTTCTACATTCATTGAAGATCTTCAATAAGAGATTAATTTTCCCACCCCCGTTAAACTTCTACATTCATTGAAGATCTTCAATAAGGGTTTGATGATGATAATGGTGATGATGATGATGATGGTGATGATGATGATGGTGATGATGATGATGATGCTGTTGATGATGATGATGATGATGTTCACGATGTTGATGATGATGATGTTGTTGTAACATTCAACGCACAGGTAGCTAAGCTGTGCGTTGCAACATGAAAGCCATGATCATGGACATGTGCATTTTGTCCCACAAAACACAGTGTTGTTTGATGTTCGGACATGTCGTCGGCGTTGGCGCGACAAACTGAGGGGTCTGCCGGTACATATACTATACATGGAGCAGCATATGGGTCATCAACTTACCCAACTCCACAAAAATCCCATCCCTAAGCACCTAAGCACAGTCCGACAGTTCGACAGAAACCCAATGGCCCCTGGGGGTCCCCGTGCCGCGGAGCCTAGGCATGGTGAGTCGGAGCGGACGCTGGCCAGGCTGCTGCGACGACTGTTGGAGCGACTGTTGGATCTCCTCGGAACGACAGTTCCCCATGGGGTGCTGGTAAAATCCACAGTTATGGCCCGAGTCATACCAGTTATAAGATGTTACCCTCTGGTAAACTAACATAGCTATGGAAAATCACCATTTTTAATGGGAAAATCCACTATTAATGGCCATTTTCAATAGCTACGTTAAATTACCAGAGGGTATAAGTACTGAAATACCCCATTTATGGAATGTATAATCCCATTTATGACCACTTATCAGTAATAAATGGCCATAACTGCATGATGTACCACAAGCAGTTTTACATGCTTTTAGTTTTTTTGCATAATACTCCAAAACAAAAACAAATAGCTATAGTTCACAATTGTATTCAACTATTCCACCATAGTTTGAAAATCCCTTCAAGTTCTACAAAATCCAATGAATTCTTACAATATCAATCCTATATACAAGTACCAACCCCCCAAAAAATAATAACTATCTGATCTCATTAAACATCAAAAACATAGATCCAATACATAAATCTTACACAACCCCATTGACATCCAAACAAAAACCCAATAAACAAATCCGATGAAAACCCCTCGCAAATTATAACATCCTATAAAATATTCTAAAATCCCATGTTTTTCCCATTGTTCTTTTTAAAACACACCCCGTTTCGGCTCTACGCCGGGCATCTTCTCCAAGGTCTCGCTGTCCATGGCCGCATCGGAGGCGATGCCACTGCGATAGACGCGGTACATGGTGCGGGGCCCCGTGTCGCTGCTCAAGCGATGCCGGTCGTGGCTACCTACGCTGGGCGGCCAAACGCCACGTCTAAGCCACAAAAGCTTAGCCCATGGGATAGGGGAGTGAAAAATGGAGTTTAATACCAAGCCTCCATGGTGCTGGAAAAAATTGACCTACATGACTGGGTGATTTTTAGGGCAAATGTTGCTAAATATTCCAGCACCATGGAGCATATGGGATATGTTTAATATATCTTATAATTACCCCTTTTTTTTTAGTTGGGAATAATCTTACTATCAATATTGAGAATACAATAGAATACGCATATTTGCTGGGGCCCCAAGTGAAATGTTTGTTGGTTTAGTTTCACCCCATAAAAAGTAGCTCGTTATATCCCCCTAATCAAAAAAATATAGTTTCGTATAATACACCTAGTTTAGTTGGAGAAACTAACCTGCAAAATAGTAAATGTTAGTATAATATTACTCATAGTAACTAGTTATAATACCCATATGCTCCATGTATGGAATATTTACCACCATTTACCCCATAAATGGCCAAAAATTAGGAATATATATATACTTTACATGGAGCATATGGGATATATTAATGATAGTAACTGATAGTAACCAGCAGTTTCCTGGAATTGTCAACTATAGTTAATGACTAGGCTTTGAAATAGTTAAGTTTCCTGGATTTGTGGCCAACTATGGTTCATAAGTGGATTTTATTGGGCTTACAATGACTTAAATAAAGTATATAGTACGGAGTTCTCAATGGTTATATTCTCTCTTTGTCCGATGTCCTCTTTATTTAAGGTTATGGTGAGGAGGGGTACCCGTAGCTGGAACTATTTCTTGGGTGACTGGAACTATTTAAAAATATGACTAGGACTATATTTGAGAACATTAAACAGGTTCAGGAAAAAACACAGAACTATATTGATGTTTGCTAACAAAAAGAGCAAGAACTATATATATATGTATGTGTGTATATATATATTATGGCTTGTAGCTTTTACTGGATGAACTCGATTGATTGGGGTTTAACTCTTCTTCTTCTTTTCAACTCACCACTCCCAAGATCTCCATTCTGGTTTGTGGATGGTTCTTTCCCCACATGGTTTTTCTTCATCGCTAACTTGACCATGGTGCTGGAATATTTACCACCATTTACCCCATAAATGGCTAAAATGTAGGTAAATATACTATAGTCATTTCAGGTGTTCCATTCCTTCTGCCCTCCACTGCTCTCCAAAAAACGGCCCCTTGAAGGCAGGCGCGCGCCAGCCCGCGCCTTGCACAAAGGTACCGATGATGAAGCCCCTGGGCCCGGTGGAAGGGGCCTTGCCTTGGCCATTGGAGATGCGTTCCGACAAATTCCGCCGCTCCTCTTCCATCTGTTTGAATCCTCGGTCGCGGCGAAACGGCGTGAGGTGTTTTCGGTTTACCAACATCCATTGGGAAAAAAAAACGGATGGAAACTATATCCCATGACGGATCCATGGTGCTGGTATATATATATATATGCTAACATGACTGGGGTATATTGATGGGATCCATGGCACACCATATATAGCAGCACCGTTAGGATCCGTCATGGGATATGGGAGCTGATGGTGGCTGAGATTTCACCCCCTCCACCCACTCGAAGCTGGCCGAAGCTGCAAGAAGATCAATTTTCATGCCAAATGGCGCACAAATTTACAATACATACCCTCTGGTAAACAAACAAAAAGCTATTGAAAATGGCGATTTATAGTGAGTTTTCCAATTAAAAATAGTGATTTTCAATAGTTATGTTAGTTTACCAGAGCGTATCTAATTAAGGTGGTATACCTATACCCCCCTGAAAAATATGAGTTCGTCAGATTGGATCATCATCCAACTATTGGGGAAAATCAATAATGTTCAAAGCACCAACCAGATATCAATAAACATCTTTCTGCAGTAGGCTTTATTCGGGTTTAGTGGCATATTAATCAAGACACCAAAACTAGTTCCTCAAAAACTAAGAGCACTCGCCCATCACCCCTTCACGCTCTCCCCTTCGAGGGGGGGCAGCTAGTTACAACTTGGTTTATAAGCCCATTTAACTTAATAGCTAGAACATCTTATAGCTACCATAAATCCCAGTCATCCTAGTTGTAAACCAACTGACCAATCATATCTTATGATTAACAACATCTAAATCTCACTCTTGGTATCTCTTGGTTACTTCATTCCCTTTTTGTTATGTTTTGCCACTTGACCCCGACCTGCTCCGCTGTTCCTCTCGGGACACCCAAAGCCTCCCCGTTGGCCACGTTGGATCCAAGCCGCTCTCAGGCCCCATCTGTCCACCACTCAGCACCCGCGCAGGGTCCTTGGGCGCATAGGTCTGCGCCACATGTGGAGATTGCGACGACTGGCCATCTCCGCGAGGGGATGTGGAGGCGTTCCTGGGGACCGCTGGATGGTCCATTTAGAGTTGTTTTTGTTCAATAAGGATTTATAGATAATAACTAGTTCATTTTTTTAGGGGTTAAAAAATAATAAATATATATATATATATATTTATAAGTATATATATATGGCACTTTATGCGTTTTCATGTTTATATGTATAATAGGGATTTGTAGTTGTTTTAGGGGAACATCTACAGGAAACCATGGTTTTGATCTTGGATATGGGGGGATCTACCCTACCATGTGTTTTTCAATATAAAAAAATATGGGAATAGTTCACTACACGGATAACTAACACGTGGAAAACCACGGGTACCGAAAGGGCATATGATCTACACGTTGCGTGTGTGTGTGTGTTGTGTTGTGTTGTGTGTGTGTGTGTTGTGTGTGTGTGTTGTGTGTGTGTTGTGTGTGTGTGTTGTGTGTGTGTGTGTTGTGTGTGTGTTGTGTGTGTGTTGTGTGTGTGTGTTGTGTGTGTGTTGTGTGTGTGTTGTGTGTGTGTTGTGTGTGTGTTGGTTTGTTTAACATGTCTTAGTTGATTGGAAGTTTTACCGCGGTATACCCGTATATTGCACTTATATTCGCTTCACTTTTGTTTGAAAAATGTTGATTTTAGATGTATCATCATCCGACCTGAATGATCCTTGAAACTGGGGTTGATGGTAAGTAGCTGGAGTGATAGACTACAAACTATTTCAGCAAGGTTTGAGGCAACAGGCCACATACTAATAGGTTCCGAGATACAGGGATCGTTCAAGTTGGGAGATCACTGGGGTCCCACATAGTCAGTATATGGTGGGACAAACATATGCTTAGATACATATCTTACTGCAATTCTTGATCAAAACCCTATTTTCTGTTTGTCACAAGATATACTATTGGTTCAAGCCCCGTACCAACAAAAGGCACCCCACAAAAATCTGGATGAATTACCATACTTGCAATTTAGGTGTTTCTTATATCGTACTATATTCCAGTAAATCCCCATTAATTGCTGGAATCCCATCATTATATCCCATTAATATCCCCTCATTTCTCCTTTGTAATTGTGGTTATCCAAATTTGGCTCAAATCTTAGCTGGTTCCACTTAGGTCGGCTATGGAGTAGTTAACTAGTTAGTAAATCAAATGGATTCTGAAAAACATAAATTCTAATTCGGGATATAGTGGGTTATACCCCACTTACTAACCAGTTGTTGAGCGGTGTTGAGAACCATTTTGCAAATTTGTTATACTCCCACGTGGCTTTCGCGGAGCTTTCGCGGTACTTACGCGACCACACGTTTAGCCTTCGCGGATGCTGAGTCCATCAATTTGCTTTCGCGCAGCTTTCGCGGATAAGTTGAAACTAGTGATAGGCAATCATTTCAAGCTTTCGCGGAGCTTGCGCGGTTAGAACTTTTAACCCCTCTTTCACGGGTGCTTTCGCGCTGCTTTCGCGCGTGAGGTTTTTACTTTCGCGGAGGTAAGCTAGTTTAACGTTTATATAAAATGCTTACTTGGAGGTTTTCGACGCTGTTCAGTTAGCTAATCCCATGGCCCATCTAAGTAACCCTTTTTTTGGTGGTTCCAGACCCAAATCTCATGGATAGTACATGGTAATACTTTAGACATAGATTAATTAACTATAGATACCCATTAATTAACCAATATCGCTACTTAAAGGGGCAGTGGGATTTGCTAATTGGTTGGTTGGTTAGTCAGTGGCTTACAACCTCACTACAAATCTAAAATGAACCATTTAACCAATCAATTAAGTCTCCATTTACCTATATAGATAATAGTAGATATATTTCTACTATAATATATTATATACCTTGAGCTTCAAAACCCTTGAAAAACGTAGGGTTTCAGAAATACCCGAGGTTTTGAAATGAAACCCAGGGTTTGCAGTTTTGCCATGTTACATGATTTGCAAACTTTCTATCCAATTATGATTGGTAGCCGTTTCTGCTGAATTATGCTGAATTTTTCTCACCGCCCAGTCTTCTACTGCGTCTCAGCTGCAGCCTGAGTGATCTGGATCCCGAGCATCTCGATAGATGGGGCACAATATAACTTTCACTCATACCCAGTAAGGCCTATAGTTTGATTAGTTTGTTGGTAATGCATAAGACCGATCGGTTAATGTAGATGGCTCAAGCATTACTTGGTGGGAACTTCAGAAAGCAAACGCTCGAGATATCAAACTGGTCTAATTAAGTATTTAGCCTGGAGCCACTGAGCGTAGCAGGCTTGCAAGTACCTGTCCATTACCCTATCAGAAGCTAATCGGCCAGCAGTTACCCGCCTGCTAAGACGGGAGCCGCGGCCAATGAAATCTTCACATTGCTGTACACTCAACCCCAGCGGGTTCAGCTGGGGAGTGCCGTTAATTGCAGCGGTATGGACCCTAAGGTAAATTTTCTGCAACACGTGCACCTTTGGTATGTAGCAAAACAAATTTCTCCTTTGAATGAAACATTGATGCGCCAGCTCAGACAGCCGTCGCAAGAATCTCAAACCTAAACCAGAGATCTCAAAACACTCAGCTCGTGTGAGCCACAAATCTGATTTGTACATTCTGCTGATGGACTTGTTGATTGAAACTGTGCCCTGCCGAACAAGCTCCATCAAAGGCTCATCAGGGAACCTCTCTACCGTCAGGACATGCTCCAAGAACCTCATCAGGACAGTTGTGAGCTCCCCTTTGTGCCATGTTCCGCATGGGAACAAAGTTGTTTTTTGCCAGGCAATGCAGTCCTTTGTGAGCTTTTGGATGTGGGCACGGCACTTGTGCTGGAAGCACCATTGCTTGTATTGATCAGACAGGGCAGCAAACCTGTCATCGATGCTGCTGCCATGTTGCAGCTGTGCCAACATGGCCAGAGCTGAGCCAATCCAAACCCTTGCCACGCCGAGGTGCCAAGTGTGGAAGAAGTCAAAAGCCCACATTGCTTCCAGCTGACCTGGAACATGAGGCAAGATCCGGAAGGGTGTAGGTTCCTCAAATGCGCACTCCACGAACTCTGTCTGCAGCCACGCAGGTCGCCTTGTTGCAATTTGTTCGAATGGAGCATGTGGCTGTCCTGCCTGACACTGGTGACAAATTCCACGACCAGCCTGCTGAACCTTGTTCTTTTGGCAGTTGTGGAAGCTTCTGCTGAAGCTTCCCGACTTGTGAAGGAATTGCCAATCTCCTGTGATGTGAAGCATCATCATCCACCGCTGCACTCCCTGTCGATCTGTGAACCCTGTTGTGCACATCGACTGTGCCTCTGTAGCACAAAAAGACAACAAAGACCGGAAAACGTGGTGATTCGAGCCAGTGTAGTCTGACTTCCTCAGCCCTGCAAGCAAGTACCTGGTGGTGTAGCTGTGACCTATGTAATTGCACTTCTGCTTCACATAGTGTTTTTTGACACCTCGACGAGCTTTGTCTCTCTCCGAAGGCTCCAAACCACGGCCCAGCAATCCTCGAAAACTTACTACCATGTAGGCTCGATGTTTTCTGCCACGACCTTCATCGCCATGCAGCACAACAGGAGCCGTGTGTTGCAGCTGCAACACACCTTCTTCAGCCAACTTGAAGACCTCGTGCGTGGGGCAGCTTTTTTTGAAGTTGCCCCAAAACTTGGCCAAAATGGCCTCCTCCCGTCTCTTGTCTGGCTTCGTCAAGCCACAAAGTACATGCCAGCAGTTGTTGGTGGCCAGGAAATTTGCCCAGCTGGTCATCGGCAGAACTGGAATGCGGAGAGACGGATCATCTGTTTTGAGATATGACCTCTGAATTGGCAATGCCAAACGGAACTTTTTTACCATGATGCTCTTGCAACCTCTTTCTGAATTTGTGTCCGAACACTTGGCCAGTTCGGTCAACCCACCCGATCTAGCCACAGCGGTCGGACCAAGATCCGCCACTATGTTGCGGGCAGCGTCGATGGCAGATCGACAAGAGGCCTCGGCGACCAAGAAAAACAATATAGAAACCGATCGGTCTATAATATACAGGGATGGGGTTCATAAACAAAATTAAACAAAAATGATCACCTTATAAATATATAGGTCAAACTTCCAAACTCATGAAAAACGTGGAGCTTGAGGATTCTGAAACTTTACGGGATGATTTGCTGTGTGGATGCTTGCGCCGAACTTGGGCATTCACATTTTTCAACAAAGGCATCCACTGAATCCTGCACCTTTTAGTGCGCATTCACGAACGAATTGCTATTTTTTTCCAACTTTGGGATAGGAGGTGGATATTTGAAGGACCTGTACACAACATAGGTCGCATACCAGCGGTGTGAGGTCATGGTTGGTGGAGTCGCAGTATCTCCACCAGCTCTGATGTTTTTGCATCCAGGACTTCCTGGGTCAGAGTCGGGGTGGTGGAGCTTCGAAACCCCCAAAAAACTCTCGAGGGGTTGCCTCTAACATTCTGGAACCATTTTTTTTTGGTGGCAAAAAATGATGCTTTCTTGGTTTGTTTTGAGGATTCAGACCTGTCTATCCATTTATAGTAACAACCCCAACTATAAGTTCTATACATAATAATCTTCGTAGTATTTTGAAACATTTTGAAACCAATATTGTTTCATCCTTCAAGGAAGGCGAGTCACCCATATGTTGGTCGACAAGTGCTGCTTCCAGCATCGCTGGTCCAGCTGGTTCTTGAGACACGTAAAATACGATCATCTTTTGCCATCGATCTCTATCTCGGTGATAGCCGTAAATATCATTTGCCCATCGCCAAGCCGGGTTGTGTGTCCATCCTACCTTGTAGGTGCAAGGCCCATGATGCCGAAGCAAAGACTCAACTACCCGTTGGGAGTGTTTAAGAACACTTCCTGCTGTACTTTCTGGTTTTGGCACGTTAAAGTCAATGCAACCCAAGGGTTGGCATGGTAGAACCAACTGCGAAAACCAGGGCATACTGGTTAGGTCAACAGAGTTGCTATTTAGTTTCTGCCGTTTGACTTTGGGATCTGTACCCTCAGTGAACACCTTCTCACTGGCAGTCACTTTGAGGGTCTCGGTATCCCTGGTCCATGGGAATGGCATCTCGGCATCCTGAGCTGAGGTTTGGGTTATATATAGTGTTAGAATGTGTTGATTACTGGGATATTCTGTGTGGGATGTATACTCCCGATGTTATTCATAACGCAAATTCATGGATCTCAATATCTTCTCAAAAGAAAAAATATTATGAAACAAAATATGACTTGTATTTTCACAGCGTGCAAAAACTCTTTAAATCTGGGGGCGTTTGCAAAAACATTTTGGACTATATAAGAGGAGTAAGATCTTCATACAAAAGACAAAAATAAACCAATGCATGATAAGGCTCAGAACGGTGGCATGTGAGCAAATCCCACAGTTCATCATGCGCAGTTTCCATGGCGCTGAAAAATCCATAATCACTCTATATAGGCTATATATAGCTGTTGGGATACTTGATGCATAGATGTTATCATGTCTGGAAATTGAAAACGTTGAGATCTAAGTTTCGTTCCATCTAACTCCCCTTTCAAATGATTCCGAAGTATAGATTTTTTTTTTGAACCAAAGTGCCAACCACATGGAAAATTTGTTTTCCCCTGGAATCTTTCTGATACTTTGCAGGATCCATAGCGCATCAATGAGTTCCGGACACCTTCACCAACTCGTTTGGCAAATCCACGAATGGTGTGACCTGGCTTTTGACCTGTCATGGCAAAGTCTCGGGAAACCGGTTTTGACTAATGTCATCGGGGCTTGTTTTAGTTTTGGCCTGTCAGTTGACAAACATGTTCAAGTAAAAGTGGAACACCCAATGAAGATTGAATGCATTTTTTCCATCCCTTTGCTGTTCGCATGTCGCTCCCAAAGACTCAGAAATTTGATGTTCAGAAATGTGGCAAAAACCACACTTGCCATGTAAACGCCGGGGACCGGCTATATTCCATATAGCCGGCTGCACTGCACCATCCAGGGGCTGAGCTTCATTCGAGGCAAGTACCATCACCTAAAACAATATTTTTTTAAATAGTTGTACCACATATATAAAACAAGTTTGGGGGTGTTATTTGATGGGTTGGATATATATCACAAGAACCCATGGGTGCGCAGTAACCCCAGGAACCCGCACTGCATGTCCTGGACATGCAATGATCATTTTTCTCCAAAACAGAAGTTTTACTTCTTTTTGTTGGCCTTAGATGCCGATTTGGCCTTAGGCTTGGCACCACTAGATTTTCTAGGACGTTTGGCATCCGGTTCAGTTTCCTCATTTCCATCATCACGGCCACGCGTACGAACCGATGCGCGGCCAGGGGTGTCCTTCTTTTTGTAGAACTTTTTTGCGTTCCTGCCGGTAAATTTGTCAATGGAGGAACCCTTGCAATGATATACTGTAATGATATATAAGGTTTCATCTTTGCATCAACATATACTGTATGGGGCATGGGTTGAATGAATAATATAAATGAAACCAAGGACAACATTTCTACTGAAAGCAAACCCCGCCCAGTCCTGATCTTCATTTCCACTCCGCTTGCCGTTGCACACCTGGGCGAGCCAAGGACTGTTGGAATTGGGCAATATTCCCATTGGACGATGCTTGACGGCAATTTTACACGTTAGCATTTCAGACCCTTTTGAGGATTGGACACATATGTGGCTGTTTTCATTTTTTCTTCTGCGGACTTGTGAAACCTCAGTAGTAAGTGTGTGACTAAAAATCTGTGAGTATAAAGCTGGATATATATATATATATATTTAGGTATTGGCGAATTGCTTTGAAGTGTTTTGTGTATTTCATCCAATTGTTTTGAAGTGTTTTGTGCGTTTCATCGCAAAGTAAACTGAGCAGCCCCTCTGTAAAGAACCCCTCTGCTTCACCCTTGGACCATGCATTCATGCACGAGTCATATGCATCATCAACCTTTTGGATCTGCGTCTTTAAGGAATTGATGCACCTCGGCAATGCGAGCTGATGGAATGGAGCGGACGTTGTGGAGTTGTGGAGTGTATCTTGGCATGATGGGTCATGCGGCTGGGGCACGAGGTGGCAGCTGGATCATCAAACTTGGTTTCCAAATCACGTGCTAGGCTTCTCAACTTTCCCGTTCTGGAAATCAAGGAGTCCATGAATTTCTTCAGGGCTTCTTTCGACTGACAGGAAAGATGTGCATGTGCAAGTAGAACCATGGATATAAATCTTAAGACTGATGTCGATAAGTTTAATCCATGACTCAAAGAAATACCTGATGATCAATATGGCGCCAAAGATTTTCGGAATAGCACAACCCATGTTGTAGAATGAGAATAAAAAAAGGTTTGTTCACATGCGGTGCCTGGGCAAATTTGCTTTGCTGGTTCGGGGGTTCCTTGGCAACCTGCGCTTTCACAGAAGTCCTGGCCCTGTCAGCTTCAATCATGGCAAACTTGCCACCATCGCCAAAGTCACAAGTAGGTTCACCAGAGGCCTTGCAGCAGTTTGAAAGTACCACCCAAGACTGCTACAGGATTATTGAGTGTGTATATGGCACATAGGATTCTGAAAAAAGGAATGCATTCTTCGGGCCTCACGCTCTTGCTGGTGAAGTTCCTCGTAAGTAGTAGACTCAATTTTTTTCCCAGTTTCTTTGATCGTGACCCACATCTCATCCACACCGTCGTACTCATTCTGCCTACAAATCAGATTTGCTATCATTTGCTGGTTGCTTTAAAGGTTGAACACGGTTGAAGATAACATTTAGAATTTAGAATTCAAAGAGAAACCACTGCCTAAAGTGAGATTGGCCCATCGCTTTGCACTTGGCTTTGGCACCGTCGATCTTGGTCCTAGAGCCAACCATGCAGTGCAACTTCATAAAGTATGTTGGGGATTGAACCGATCCAATTCTGAAAAACATTTGATTGTTCTGATACTTGCACCAATTTCAAAAATGAGACCCAGACTTTGACCAACCCAACTCCGTAAGCTCACCCTCTGAGAACCAGCCCTGTTCTTTGGTAAGCTCAACCTTTTGCTGCTTCTTTACGCTGATCAAGAGCTTATTCAAAAAGCGTTCCTGCCAGATCAGTGCTATTTTTAAGGTCTCAAAGACTAACAGTGCAGGCCCATTGAAATCTTCAGTTCATGACTCATATGTTTGAAACATAAACGGGTGGACCAATCCTTGTTGAAATTCTCTTGGCTCAACAGGTCAGCAATGTCGTTCTTACAGCCATTTCTCCACTGCTCAACCAACCACTCAGGAGCATTGAGCTCCGATCGGCGACCGTGCGGCTTCACCCAGCGGTTGATGCGACTCTTGGCCGCACTCCGCAGTTTGGCCTTCGGGCTGGATACGGTTCTTTGTTTTGGTCAAAAGTCTGGTATGACTAAAACATGTTTTTATCAGAGATATATTTCAGTATCGATATCATATATATTGAACCCCATTTGCAATTGATTTTAATGACCACCAAAGTTTTAGACATGATCGACAATCAATGGCCTTGCGGGACACGTCGGCTTGTCCAGCTCGGGCAGTGGATTCGTCTTTGGTTTCACCAGCTGGCGGTTCTGCTGCCAGTTGTTGGGGAGACACCTCATTGCCTTCTGACTCGGGTGGAGGGTCCTTTGAAGAAAGCTGTTCGGTATCCAACTTGGTGCCCATAGATGGCTCCACTTCCACTGGTTCAACTCTCGGTTGTGTATTGCTTCTCGCAGGAGTAGCAATGGTCTTAGTCTCATGTGACTGGGATTCCAACGTCTTTGTAGGCTCTTGGCTATCATCCTTAGCTATACACTAGACCCATTTTCTTTGGTGAAGACATTGAAGGTTGATGGAATTATGAAATATATGTTCTGACAAATCTATACGGCATTTGCTCACATACAACTTAGGGATCCACCTTCTCCTTCAGGACGGAGATGCCAGCAGCTTGAAGTTCTTCTGGAGTTGCCTCGTCGCATTGGGTGAGTATGGGGTTTCTTGGTTCCACCAGTTGGGGAAGAATTGAGGTACACCAACTTCAGCTATAGCATATAATGATGGGTCCTGTAGATGAGATGTAAATTGAGATGTAAATTTCAACATAAACAACAACAACAACATGGAATCTCCGAGATCTGGACCGGTATGGTTTCTGACATTTGCAGGGAATCCTCTGCGTTGGCCTGAACTATAGGCTGTCAATAAAGGAATGCATATAAGCTTACTGATTCAAAATTGCTCAGGCTCTAGCAGGGCTTGCATTTGCTTCACCATGAGTCTTCATTTCTTCATCCATCTCCTGACATAAATAACCATGATGCATGTTGAATTATGGGGGTTGTATATGACATACCACAGCTGAAAGTATCCCATTGAAAACAGCACTCTTGTTTCAGGGTTCCTCGAGTTGCTTCAAAAGTCTTTGTTCTTCAAGATTCAAATCCAGGACCACCACCCCATCGTGAAGGGTGGCACAGCTCCACCCAGTCGAAGTGCTTGCCATTGCTTTGGGCAAAACACACCGTATGTGTAACCACCCTAAAGGAAACTGAATGGCCTCAGAAGTCAATGCAAATTTCCAATAAGTACACGCTCACTGATTCACTGATGTACAGATTCAATGGAGCTATGATGGCTCTAGAACCCATCTTTCTGGAGTAGATCGAAACTTTTTTTACCCAAGCGCTGTTGATGTCTTGAGTACCATCTAATTGTGAAGTCATCAACGCACGTGCAACTTTTAGGACAGCCGGAAATCCAACCATCCTGACTTATTCCAAATTAAATCTATTGAAATCAGCTTCAAAATGAAGCTGTTGGGGGGGCCCTGAAACCCATATTTAAATACGGGGTTAATACGGGGTAAATACGGGGTTAATACGGGTTCAATACGGGTTGGGGAAACCCAGGGTTTGTCACCGAAACCTAGGGTTTTCACAAAAAAATACGGGTTTAAACGGATATAATACGGGGTTAATACGGGTTCAATACGGGTAAAAAAAATGGAAAATCTAAAACCCTACTTTTTTCCCAAAAAATCTTTCACATTGCATTTCTTTCAGGTCTTTGTCAGGAGGGAATCCACTGTGGTCCTATTTTGAATTGAGACAATTTTGGGGACAACATAGAAAATCATAGAAATGCTACAGGTTACCATTCCAACAGCTTCCTAGGAAAGCTTTTTCGGAAAGTACTCCTTCCAGGGCTCAGGAATCTGTACAGTTTTGCAACCCCGAAGGTATTCATACACATCAGTTAACCCTGAAAAATTCCAAATATCGTCTTCGTGCCATTCCATGGCAGTAAAGGTATGTAGAGCTGGCGGGACCTCATTTGGAACCTCAGGACATCCTCGGCGTGTAGCCTTCATGGATTCTATCCGATCTGCCACTGCTCGTGCAAATGCCATTGGGTAGTGCCTTGGCAAAAGGGCTACCAGACAGGACGGATATTATATTGTTTAAATCAAATAGTCCTTGGATTCAAACCCAAAATAATTGTAATTGCAATGGGCACGGAATCCTCCTCAAATTCTAATATGCACAATTGATTGTGAACACATTTTCCTGAACAGTCAAGGGCTTGAAAATTCATGGATGGAACCAAAAACAACCATGTCTCTCCGTAGCACGAAGGGCTTTTGTACCCTGCCACCGTGTTTTCCCTGCTTTGTCAACATAGCGCTTTGCTGTAGCCACTTTCTTCCCATTTGGGGGCTTCCACTTTCGAAGAACACCGCGGTCAAGTCCCAAGATCATTTTTGTGTTTCCGTAGGCAAAATGCCTTTTAGGTGTATTGGCGGAATAATGCCCCATCCACCAACGTACGCATTGGACCTTACTTGAAACCCCAATAATGAAATTCAAAGGAATATGAGATTGGACCCCAGGTGAAACTCAACAGTGATCATCGAACCATATCGAACTATATATCGACAACTAAGTAGAGTACTGCGTAATCACCCCCTGTTTCGAAGATGTAGCCCATTGTTGCCCTCCATGTTGGATAAAATTCCAAAAGTGACCCTCCTGGCTGCTCTAGCGTCCACACGCCGCCCATCGCGGTGATGAGCAAAACCATCAGGCATGTCCTGCAGAAGGGTGCATCCAATACCCTACTGAATTTACTTGGTTTTTTGAGTGATTTCAAATGCCATCAAAAAAGACATTTCGAGATATTCCTACACTTTCAAGTTCTTTGATTTTGCGGTCCTTTCAAGTAACAAGTTGGCCAATCCAACAGAGGGGTATATAAAATGACCCAGGGAATTGCACGCTGATCTTCGAGACGTTCCAGTATTGACCTTGCAGAAGCTGCTGCATTTTACTCCGAGGTGGGCTGCAAAGTCGTGGGCTTTGCACCGCAAAATGGCCAGCAAAGCGAGCCTCAGCTGGATATGAGGGATCAGGACGTTCAGGGTTTCTACCAATCATGCATGGATTGTCGTTAAAGTAAATTTGTGGTTTTAAAGTTTAGAACCACCCTGATATATAAGTGTTGCAAATAACACCAGAAAATGTCAACGGTTTGTAAACTTGTGGTAATTTAATGCCAAGAAACGCAAACCCAGATGCATGGGATAAGTCCATGAAGTTTGATCCCCGGTTGGGGGATTGCCGGTGATCAATCACATCAAATCGTAGACTGGGGTATTGACAAGCTTTCATCATCACAGTCAAATTTCCAAGTCCCGCAAAGAACTCTATCCACTCCACTTCCTGCACATCCATGTGCGTCAGTGCTGGCGTCCCCAATTTTTGGATTCACAGTACAAAAGCTGCCCTATAGATCAATGGGTTCGAATTTTGCTGAACCGTTGACCCCGATTCCAGCCTCGTCAACCGGATATGTCCACACAAGGAGCAAAATGCATTGAACAAAGGTCTGCGACGAAGCTTGGCTGCGCAGTGGGCTTAAGAGTACAATGTTGATCGTTATATTTTATAAGGGACAGTTAAGATATCAGCAGCATCGAAAAATGGTGGTCTGATTTCTTACAAGTGAATTGGATCAACTAATATTATATTATGGTGAAATTGAGTCGAATTGAAATCAGAACGAAACGCCTTGGGAAGATGTAGGGCCCTGAGCCGCCACATCAAGGTGTCAAGGTTCACCATGGCTCAATCACTCCAGTAGAGTTCACACGTTGTAGCTAAGCCGGTTTCCAAAAACATATTCTGATCTGAGAAGCGCATGAGGTGAAATTACGTATAACAGTAGTATATTATATATAATATACGTTTTATATGGTTTGATCTCTATAGATTTGAGTTGTTGTTGATCACTCATTGGTTGACCCCTGAATTTCATACTGAGCCAAATCCAACTGAATTTAGAACAATTGCTGAAGATTCCAGCCTTGACTTAACCTGAAACAATGGACCATGGGATCAAGTTTTCAAATAATATATGCCAGGGATGACATTTTTTCACATCCACTTTGACCCGGTAGAGGTTCCGGCGCTGCGACGCAGATAGTCGGAATGGCATGGCCTCGGCCGATGTAAGCTGGGAAAACTGGTTGCCCTAACTATCAGGGTAAGTGTAGAAGGTTTATATACAATCAAATGACTGTAGGATTCTAATGAATGAATTTTATAGATGTCTTAAACAGTTCAATTTGTTGGGATAGATTCATGCCCCAAAGTGCTCAACAAAAGTACAGTGGCCTAACCCCATTTGTTTCAGCCTCCGCTCTCAGGATCTTTGGGTATAAGCTTGCATGGCTATGGAGATTGAAGGACTGCGTGGATGGGGAATGGAAACAAATCCTAAAAGATAAAAGACTTTGAAAACCATGTGCCCAAAACCAAACCAATTAAAGAACGCTTAGTGGGCATTCGGGTTTTGAAACCTTTAAGCCTCATTCAATGCTCAAAATTGAACTGGCTGGCCAATTGATGGTCCCTAAAACTTTGGATGATACCCTGCATGCAATAATATAATATATAATCCCCATTAATCCCCAATAGTATCCTGCTTCAACACCAAATGTCCAGTCCAAAGTTTTTTTCACCAAGATTTTGCCATTGCCTCGGTTTGTTTGCAGTCGATCACTGCACAGTGGCACCATCAGAGAATCCTATGCCAACATCGTACAATGCATGTGTGTTACATGAGTGAAAAATGGATTCTCGTTGTAATCAACACATGTTTGTAGATCACAATTTCCACTTGATTTTATTTTTCCCTTTGGATTTCGGAAGTGCCAGTCAAAGCTTCAGCTCGCAAAGGGTTCAATTTGGACGACCCTGAATTGCTAGAAGCTTGTGCGAAGTACCCCAACCCCATGTAACATGTATGTTACCTTCAGTGCCGTTTGCACTGGTAGACACTAGGCCTTTGAGTAGGCTTCTTTGCAAAACGCTTGGATGGCTTTTCGCCCGGAAATGATAATTGCTTCTTTCATGTTCTGGACATCGCGGTTGGCCTGCAGGGAAACTCCTTTGTTTTCCTCAGTCTCCGAAGTGTCATCCACATAGCGTACCTTAAGCGTATGAATGGGCAATGTGGGGTGATGTTCACAAAGAAAATCAAATTGCACGATTCTTCGAACATGTGCTTGGAGATGTGACTCAAAATTTGATATCGACTATAACTCTTTTGAAAAAGATGCAAGCAACAGTGGGCAGTGTTCTTATCTTAGAAATCTTGTTTGCATGTAAGGTGCCAAAATTTCTGCTGCCTTGATCGACGTAGCCATGGCGATAATCCAGTTGTCAGAACAACTCAAAAACCCAAAATGGGCATAGTCCTTTCCTTCCGATACTGATTTAACTCCAACGCCTGTGCCCTTGACACCTTTTCTGAGCCAGTAGATGTTGAGGGTCCCATCATACCCAAGGCCCTTGTAATCTGGTACCAAATCTTTCAACTGCTCCTTCGCATTGTCTTCGGTTAGGTCTTTTGTCAACCTCAGGAACTTCACAATTTCAAGCTTTTGATCCTTTTGTGTTGTAGGTGCCGGCGGCAGTCGCTCCAGCTTCTTGCCCTTTCTGCTGCTGTCTTTTGCTGAACGGGAGCGGGGTCGTTTCTTTGTTTCCTCCAAGTCAGCATTTTTTTCAGTAACTTTCTTTTCTGCCGGGGTCTTGGCAACATGTTTTTTGGTTTTGTCATTGTTCTTTCCCTTTGCCACCTCGGTTTTTTCTGCTTTTGTGTCTGCCTTGTTCGAAGCTCCTGAGGGTGTGGGCTCCTTGCTCTTCCGGCGTCGTTTTGTTGCAGGCTCTGGCTGTGCCTCTTCACCTTTAACATCACCAGTGGGCCATGCTGATTCAGAATCCCCAGATGGATTCCAACCCCATTCATCCTCCATCTCATCCATATAAGGGTCCCAGGACCAATCCTGCTCCCATGTTTTTTCAGCAACCTTCTGAGATGCCTTGCTTGGTTTCTTTTTTTCTGCGTTCGGTTTGTTGCCCCGCCCAGTGGGTTTCCCCCTCCCTCTTCCACGTCCTCTTCCTCGTCCTGTTACAGGATCTCCCTTCATCTCCAGCTGATTCTTGCGCGTCACCGGGGGTTCAGCTGGTGGGTCCTGACAAACAGTGAAAGAAAAGAGTTGGAAGAACGACCCAGTCATGAATGAACAAACCACTGCAATTTAATTGAAGTGTATAGTTATAGGGATGGATTAAACTGATGTTTCCTTTGACAGTAATTTAAAGTAATCAAAAACAATTGCTGCAAAATATGGTGATGAATACAATTTGTTTGATTTACCTGGCCTCTTGCTCACTGGTCGAAAACTGTTCTTCTTTCACATCGATCTTCTTGCGGGTGGTCTTCTTCTTGGGGGATTTTGTACCAGTCTCATCCTTTGACTCCAAACCATCAGCGGACTCAAGATTGGTAGATTTGTTTTCGAAGGTAGGGACTTCGACAGAAGATGTTCCTTCCACACGTTCCTTCACCTGTTTTCTTTGGTATGCATCTCTTTTAGCATCTGCACTATGCACAGGGGAAACCAAATTCTCTTTGATCTCAGGGGTTGCAGCCAGTGTTGCTTCATATGGCAGCGTGTCGCACGTATCATTGCCACTCGGAAACTCTGCGGGAGCTCCTGGCAAAAAGCTGTAGTAAGTCCATGATGTGGGTTGTTGATGAACTTACTGTATAAATATATGTTTATATCTGATGAAGTAGATGCAATTCCATACACAGCGAAACACAATTACCACACCGTATTCACACTTTACTTAAGATACACCCGGTCAAAACCGTATGAAAACACATTTACACTCATCAAACCCTTTTGTAAGAAAGAAGTGTCACATTCAACTGCGCAAACCCCCCTGCCAAAAAAAAACGGAACCTGTGTGACCACTGAGAGGTGGCGATGGGGCACATGCTCTGATGGGGTTGTCTGCCTCTTCCAACTCCTTCTTCTTTGCTTGGACCCTGGGATGTTGCAAGATGTTGCAAGTAGATGAAATACATAATTGGGATGTTGCCTCTCCAAAATGTTGGCATCCACATGGCGTGAAACCGTGCAACACAAAAAAATGCTAGAGACATGGGAGTACTTGGAAATGACTGGGGATTTGAAAGGTTAAATGCTAGAACCAATCAATTGGGTTGATACCCGAAATTAATTGATCAGCCCAAACACAGTCGGAGTCTTCTCTCAATGTCAGCCCGCTTCCGCGCCAAGTCTTCCTTACCTCAGAGACAGTGATGTATAGGCGCCAAACAGGAAGATATAGATTATGATAGATTGGAACCTATATTAATAATTGCGATTGATTGCTAATGGCATCTCAAACATTACAAATATTTTTCCATGGAGAGCTAGAGCCAAGATACTGTTTGCAGGGCAACTTCCTTTGTTTGTTGGTGCTTCTGCTGCTGCTGCCGCTTGCTGTTGCTTGTTCTTTGACTCCTCAACTTGCGAGCTCTTTGTTTTGATTTCCTTTCCACTTTCTTGCTTGGTCAGTTCCCCAACATTGCTACCAACATCAGGAGCTTTTGGGTCCGGGTTGGATGGGGCTGCTTGTGGGTCAGGGTTGGAAGGGATTACTTCTGCCTTCGGGGTGGTTGGGGTTGCTGTGTCCCCACATGCTTCCTTCTCAGTTGCGGTGCTTTGCTTAGAAACATCTTCCGGTTCAGTCTGTTGACCCGAAACCCTTGCACGTTCGTTGGCATTGACTTCTACCTCCTCGTCCTCTTCCTGTGGTTCTTCCTCTCCTTGCTCATCCCATTCATCTTCATCTTCCTCCTAAATCAAAAAGTATAAGCAATCGAAATTTGACTTGAAAATTGAAATCTTCCGAACAAGATGAAATGCACTTTAATGCGATGTTGACATATATATATATGCACATGGGTGTATACAGGCAGTGCTTTCCGTGATGACCACATTGAGTTTCTCTGCAAATGATGTTAGATAGAAACCCAGGACCATTTTGGATCAACCGCCCCAAACCCTCACACAGCCCATCCTGCTGGACCATGAGTTTTTGTTTTTTCCGTTGATGGCGTCCACCATTTCCTGCATGACATGTGTGGGTCAACCCCTCCTGTTTAAACTTCGGTCCAAAATGAACAAATTGTGTGGTGTAGCAACAGGGATATGCAAAGGTGTTGAATACGTACAATTCCCCCAGATACTAAGAAGGACTTTGAATAGAACATCCCGCCTGCAAAGTAGGATCAAGGATCAAGCACATATCCTGGAAAGTTTCAACCTGGGATTCAAACCGGGCTTGGTAGAGTTTTGCACTTTGGACTAAACCAGAATATAATTGTCAAAGGAAACCTGCCAACTCACAAATGCAAAAGGCATGCGTGATTGTTTGAAAATTGATGGTCAAGTAACTGTGCTTACTTCTCCACGACGGGTCTTCATCTTTACAAAGCTGCAGAGCTTCTTGACGCGCCAAGAAGCTTTGACAACATCATGTTCTTGTTCGGGGGCATTCCCCCTCTTGTTTTTCACCAACAAATCATCAATTTCAACTCGAAGCGGATCCACCGGTGGCAAAGACTTGAACTCCAAAACAGCCATCCTGGTAAGAATTGGAACTAGTATGGCGGAATTCTTGCAACATCCGTCTACTGTATCTTTTGTATCGGGGTGAAGAAAGGTATTTCCTTGCCGCAGGCGATCTCTGATTTCCTCACAAGCATCCCACTCCTCGCAAAGCCCTTTCACGTCCAGAACTTCCAAGGGTGGCTGGGTCTTCTTTCTCAGATTGCGTGCCATGGGCCAATGGAATTTGCCCCCGACTTGGGCTGTAAATACACCTGCGAAATTTTGTGCACCTTGTAAATTTCTTTTCACGCATGATTGCACATGTTGGCCATGTCAACACATGCATGCATTCACATTGGCCCCTGCATACTCGATCTACGGATTTAAATATTCAAACATGAACCAGGAAACCCAAAGAACACACAAGAACACCAATTTCTCAATAATATAGATCGATATACATTGTTTTTTTTGTGGGGGGCACCTGTTGCCACGGCTCCAGGATTGCTTGGGAGCCAGACTGTTTGGCACGAGCATGCCCACGGAGAAAAACTGGCCGCCACAGCGATATGCCGGGAATGATTCCATCAGTTCAAAGTGGGCCAAAAAGGAAAAGTATACTACTTGAATCAATGGGCTTAGATCTCGATGTAGAGTTAACTTTGTTCCTTTATAAATGACACAAAAAATTACAGATCTGGTATCCTGTTGCACTGTGTGGGGTTGATCTGAATATAATGATTATATATATCTGAATTGGGAATCGAGTTTCTATATGGATATCATTTGGCCCCATTTGGGCCCATCCCACGTCAGAGCCAGAGCTGCACCACATCCTGTGCAACAGCGCGGTGGCACCCCAAGGGATTGGGTATTGTGATATTTTATGATATTTCATCATATTTTAAGGGTTTAAGTGGATACCCGAGGTTTTAGGAGTAAACCCTAGGTATTTACTCATGATACGGGTTAAACCAGGGTTTACATAAAAACCCTACAAATTTATAGGGTTTAGGTTCGCAGGGTATATATATATAAATCAAAATTATACATCATTAAATCATATTAAATAGCATTTGAATAGCTATAAACCAAAAGCTCTGTCACTTCGAAACCACTTCAAAACGCCTCCGCGACGTCCCAGGCGCTGTGTCGACGGCCTCCCCCGTCCGCGCGGCGACGTGGGCGCCGTGGGCGGCTTCGCCGGGCGCGCCGGCGGCGCGCTGCTGGGGCGGCTCACGGAGCCGCCGGGCGACTGCGGAGGGCCCAGGTATTCCTTATAGGAGATCAACGGGAAGGTGGGGCCCCAAGATAGACAATATAGTTGGTTTATACATATAATATATATATTATATATATATGTATAGGGCCCCCAAGATAGCTAATAGTTGGGTTAGATTTGAGAGAGTCATGATATAACTATAGTTAGATGGTGTTATAAAGCAAGTTAGAACTAGGAACATATGGAGATATTTGTTATAGGCAGAAATTTGGGATATTACTGGGGTAGAATGATTTGGAAGATGATATTAGGGATTTCACTTCCAAAATTGTCTTCGATTATATGGGGATTTATACCGGGATATCAATCGAAACTTTCAAATGGCTAGGTAAGGCCCAGGTTTTTTGCCCAGCTTGTGGGGATTGGGTGTCCCAGTGGCAGCAGAGATGGTTAGGTGCTCCCAAAATCATCCAACATCAGAAGGCGAGATGAAGTCCAACAATCGAATAAAGAATCATCCGTAGCTTCATCTATTAAATTGCTATCTGTCTATTGCTTTCTTAAACACTTTCAACCTGCCACGTGTCATTCATCTCATTGGTTCCTCACCCCAAGAACTCAATGGATTGGTTTAAGACGGTTTTTTTTATATGGTTTTGTTGGGAAAATCTTCACCGGAAACCATCGGTTTTCCCATCAAATATGGCGCTTTCCTTTAAACCAATCCCTTGAAAAAACAGGTTCCCGGGATGCAGCGACTTCGAGCTTCGACTTGACCATCCTTGCTGAGACATCCCGCAGTGTTGGCGGAGGCCAAGAGTTCCTGAAGGGATTAAGCTTGGAGACCACCAAATCTGCTATGAATCTCTTCCCGGTAAAGGGGTGTCCATATAAACCTATATGTATATAGTATACTGTAGTACTGTTTTTTTTCATTTTTGGTGAACCACAAGGGCATGGTGAACCACAACAATTGAATCTTCCTCAGTAACGAGTGAAGCAGGTCGTAGTGGGGAAAGCTTGCAAAATAGTAACCCCCCATTGATGAAGTTGATAAACCAGGGGACTATTCGTCCTGCGTGAGCATACCACCTTAAATTGGTTTACTTCACGTCTAGGATTTACACCCAAATTACCTTTAATTAAAGACATGTTTTTTTGTTATTAATGTGTGAGTGAGTGAGCTACAAGGTGCTATATGCATGGTTTCTCTAAAATACGCAGCCAACACAAAGGTAATCACCGTTCATACCTCCCCTTCAAAGATGGGATTTCAACTAACCAAACTTTGCCAATCCCAGCATCCAACGCATCGCTCTCGTTGAGGCCTCCTTCCTGTCGTGTGAGGTCAGTAACCTGGAAAATAATGGATGAGATATCTACATGCTGGTTTCCCATACTTAGCTAAGTTGCTCTATCACTAGGCTAAGGACTGGGTTAAACTGGGGAATTGTGGGGAAATTTGTGATTTATGGTACTTCTATCGAAAATATCTATGGCGTCACCAAGTTATATCCGGGGAGCTCCCACCTTTCGAAACAGCTCCAGCCTTCAAGCCTGGGACCTGGGGTGCGATGAGCCACCCGCCGCCCACGCGAATCCGCGCCGCTTTTTCTTCCACCTTCGGTTGCATCCTGGGCGGCTGCGCCAAGTCGGGCCAAGTTGCACTGGATCTATGTGAGGTGAATAAAGGTGTCAGTGACCTAACAAACTACCGTGACAGTTGCGACAAGACTTTTATGTCACTCTATTACAGTATATGATCACTAATTATATCTGTTAAAGATGTCAATGTTCCTCCCTGAATTAGAAATATTGCGAAATCCACTTTGAAAGTCAAGGTGAGAACACCCAAAAAAAAGTCGCCGCGAATTCATGACCAGGTTCAGTCAGTCCTAGCCCTGCCGAGGATCAATTGCGCAAGGAGAGGACATTGTGGGGCAAAGTGCCCGAAGCGTGCGCAAAGCTGACAGCTGGGATCTGTTTGCACGCCTTGCTGCTGTCATTAGGATCTTGAGAGGTCAGTAATCCCGGAACAGGTTGAAGCTATAAGTTGTTTTTTTCCATGGCTCATCTGAGACTCATCTGGCTTTTCCAGTTTTTAAGCTCTTTTCTTTATAATTATAAGAGGATCAAGCTCTTGTATATAACATTATCTAATTATAAGTGGATCATACAGTAACTCCATTCATAACCATGTATCATCACCTTTCTTTGCATCCAATCTGCCGGGCAGATTCGTCGCCGTTTCCACCCTTCCGATTTCTCGGAGCCAAGTGACCCACATTGCTTCCAGGAGGTTTCTGCAGAGATGGGCAATACGGTGCCAACTGGGACGCAGTTGCGAGCTCAAGGGAGTCCACACATGTGGTGAGACTAAGATATTCAGGAAAAATCCAGTATAAAACAATGTAATTCTGGATTGTGATGCTTGGCAATGCATAGATTCTGAGTGATTTTATTAACATATAAATCATCACGTTTCCAGAGTGCTGGTTTTGACCCCTGATTGTCTTGCATCACAGGGAAACACGTGAACACCATGGTTTTGGGATGCTCCTGGATTTTCAAAACTATCGCAGTCGCCAAGTTCAAGGCTCTGTTGGTAGCGGCATGGATCTGGTTTCCAGCTGCTATACCAATCTTCATCTTTAAGAGAGTTGACAGAGCCTTATGACTATGCCATAGCGACTGAGAGTTTGGGGATCATAATTGACTTTGATTGCTACATCCAATGTCTGGTCGTTGTTTCTGATTTTCACTGGGATTAGGACTGGTAGAATCCAGCATGATCTGGGATATCACATGATCTGTTTGGGTCCCCTTCATACCGGCCAACCTACCAAGCAACCCAAACACATCCCATCATTCATCCGATCTGTTGATTTCCGGATTCCCATCGTTCTGCTAGCTGCTAAACAACCACTAGGATTGATCCTAGAATTCATACATGGTTCAGATAATACATGTAAACTGCATTTAGATTACACAATTACCATCTGGTGATTTAACATAGCCATGGGAAATCCCTGAACTAAATAGAGGTTTATAGCTGGGAAAATCATCTATACATGGGCCATCTATACCATGGCTATGTTAGATAACCAGAGTGTAGAATCAATTAGAATCCCTCACTGAGATGTCTGGCCGCATCTCTACTTCAACCCCCCTGGATCATCCACCATCCGCGCCCCTTCTGCGCAGCCACGTGCCGATCCGACCCACAAAGTTGGCAATCTTCGTGCCGTGGACCCTTCAACAGATCTTCCAGTTCCTGCGCGATCAACGTTCATTCGGAGGATCTATTGGGAAACCCAATGGAAAATGGACCTATGGGTCAAAATCCCATGGAACCCCTGGGAGCGTTGCGAAAAGTTGGAGGGAATCAAGTCTGGAAAGTTGTTGGGGTGAGAAGTGTCCTTGCGCACAAGCTGATCTTGTCCCCATCATGCTGGGTTGAAACTACATGAAGTAGGCAAACAGGCCCTAGAAAAAAAGTGAAGCAAACAGATTTTGCTCGGATAAAATGTAATAATATATTATCATCACCACACAAGCAAAACAAATTATGAAATATGAAGTGAACAAAACAATATTATGAAGACATATGTTTTATCTGTCATAATTTACTATTAAACATTAAAAACATATTATTTAACGACCGCAGGCGTTCAGGCGTTGCCAAACTCCATCATGGCTAACCTTGGATGCCCTGCAAACAACATGCTGTTCCTCTCAAAATACGGATGACAATTGAACTTCTACGGCCAAAGATATTAAAACATATAGTTAATTGTCATTCATATTCCATAGTATATATATGTATATTGTATATTATGTATAACTATATATATAATATTATATAATACATCTCAATGAAACCTAGCCCATTTTTTCAATGTCACAACTTTTTTCACCATCCCGGCGGCGCCTTGACCCGCTTCTGCAGCGCCAACAGGGGACAGTTGGCTCTGGTATGACCCGGTGCTCCACAGTAGGTGCACCAAATCCCTGTGGTCTGGCAGCCTGATGGGCTGATCGGCAGATTTCTTCGAGAAATGTTGGCGAATATGGATCCCACCATCCCACACAACCAGGGACCAAGGCTTAACCATTTTGGGCGGTCAGCAATCCAACTTGGTTCATCACCAGGAGGAATTGGCCTTCAAAATCATAAATCCAATCCTGAGGATATGACTGGATCCCCAAAAAGGTTCAGACAGAAAAACGTCAGAAAAAAAAACATCATCAAAGATCAAAGCAACAAGTTCAGTTATGGTTACGGGTCAAAACTGGTACCCTACCATAAAATAGCTAGTTGATGGATGGTGATTCCCGAAAATCTGGTACTAATAGGTTTGGATGTGTTCCTGCCGGGCCCGGCCTGTGTCATCCGACAGGGGCCGAGGCCGTGGCACTTCGACGGGAACTTGCACCTTCTTTTCAACCATCACCTGCAACAAATGGATTTTTAGTGGATTTTAATGGGATTTGAATGGAATTTAATGGATGGTTCATGGATCTTAATGGGAATATACCTTAATAGTGTGTATATATATAATATTATATTTTTATTACTACTATCATTATTGTAAATTATTGATATTTTTACTACATATAACTCTTACATATATATATATATATGTAAATATACATATTATTATTATTAATTAGTATGTCTATTTAATATTCTTAATTGGTATTCTTAATTATTATTACTAATCATTATTAATTATTATTATCAATATTATTATCATTATATTATGTATACAGTGTATACAACAATAATATGATTTTGGCTGCGTCTCAAAAGCAGGCCCTCAATTGCCAGGCAGCGTGGCGGGAGAAACTCACATTCAGAGTTGGGATAGGAGTGACCAACAAACACCATGGGATTTGATATACCCTCTGGTAATTTGTTACATAGCTATTGAACATGGCCACAGACATAGTTGATTTTCCCATTAATAGCATGGTGATTTTCCACAGCTATGTAAACGTTTACCAGAGGTTAATTTGACTTTAGATACCAACCCTCAAAGGGTGTTTTAGATATTGTTGGGAAGTCTATCCATTTAGAACAAAACACATTAAGATATAAAACAACCCGCCCTGCAACCACGATTTCCCACGTGTGTCATACTGCTTCAAATGATGTGTCCACGACCGGGGGTGCTGTAGATCTAGTGGCCTTCAAATACATGCGGGAAGCAACAAAACAACTCTGCTAGAATATTGTGTATAGAGAGTCAAAATCACTTCCATGACATCCAACATACATTTGTAACTGGTATTTAGTCAAAACATTTCCATGATATTGATAATGTAGGTTTGCCTGCAAAAAGGGTACCCCCAAAGCAATTACCCAAAGTAATTACCATGGTTTCAAACAATTTTTATTCCCAATGCAATTTTGAAGTATATACTCCCAATTGTGACAACCTATTGTCCCCACAACACATCCACGTTTATAGACAGTTTTTCCTGGTATATCCCGCTAAAATAAAAATGAACACTTCTTGCTGTTTTGATTTGTATACCAGTAAATTCCCACGACATGGTTTATAAATCCAATGTTAATTCATCGCAATTTACATAGGATGAACCGCATTGTTTTGTGAGGAGTTCATGGGATATACCCTCTGGTAAACTAACATAACTATATGGAAAATCACCATGTTTAATGGGAAAACTCACTATCAATGGCCATTTTCAATAGCTATGTTTGTTTACCAGAGGGTACCAAGCAGTTACCAAGCATTGTATCCCTTAGGATCCATGGCCGGACTCCCATCAACGGAGAGTCTGCTTGGTCGCCTCCACTTGCTTCTCAACCACTCGCTCCGTGGGGCAGTCTGCATACATATAGCCTTGCCAGTCACATCAAATTTTAGGATCATGGGGATATCACCAAGCAACCATGGAGACATAAATGGGAATATGTGAATTTCCGTATGGGATTGGAATAGTGACTGGTGATCATCATGGGAATAGTGACTTTGTGGGGGATTTCTGGTGATTTCATAGGCAAACTGATGCTCCAAACCATGAAAATTGGAACTTTGGGGATGTCATGGGAATACAAACTGCAATATAGGGGATAAGTTACAGCTGGCTAAGTGAGGTCAAGACCGACATGACAAACTATGTACGGTGTACCTCCAACACATTCCAAGTGACACAACTCTACAATTATACCCGCTGATTACTGGTTTTGTTCCAATAAAACCACCATAAAAATCCCATAGAAAATTTCCTTGACCATTAAATCCATAGAGATCATTTTTTTGCTGGCTTTATCCAAATAAAATTAACAGGAAAACGGCATAGAAAATCACCACTAAGTCACCACAAGATCCCAATAATAACATCCCCATTGACACCTGTAACTATCCCCATAAAATGACCATAAGATGGCCATATAAAATCCCTACTTGGTGGCTCATCCCACGGCTCGTAAGTGGGTTAGTTCACCCCAGTTATAAATGGGATTTTTGTAGGGTTAATCCCATTTATAACTGGGGTTATAAGCCACTTACGAGCCGTGGGATGAAGCACCAAGTATTCAATGCATTTCTTCTAAGTTTATCTCAATAAAGTGACCAGAACATTCCCGTGGAAAATCCCCCAAAATTGACCATGAAATCACTACACAATTCAACCCACATAGGTTGATCATTATGATAGGTTATATCTATCCATAGTATCTATAAGTTATTTCCATGTATGCATGTTTTAGTTATAGCCTCCATAGACCCTTGTTATACTATAGTTTCTGCTGGCTTTCCCATACAATCACCATTCAGTTATAGTTATCTATAGCTTATAATACCATAATGTATTCTACCATAGTGTCAGTTATTTCTATAGTACCATAAGAAGTATATCAGTATATAGTTATCTATAGGTTATAGTTATTAGAGACACTACCATAAATACCATAGTATAAGTTGTTAAGTTATCTACCCCCAAATCATCCATTTTAAGAGGATTTTCCATTATAAACCATCCATTTTTGGGGTACCCCATTGATGGAAACCTCCATATAGTTATCTATAGCTCATAGTTACAGTATCTACTGTAGAGTGCCACTAGTTAGCCACATGTGTTGTAGCTTAGGTCTGCCACGTAGTTTTTCGTGTTGCATGTTGTACAGTTGTTTCAAATGCCATTTATGGCTCAAGCTTGGTTAGTCTAAGCTTGCTTGGCTAGGAGTAGTGTCAGTTGCTCCGGACCGCGCACTTGCACCTCGCGAGTGAAAACAGCTGCGCTTGCTGCTAGTGTTGTGGCTAGGGCAAGTGCACTTAGAGCTTCTCGCAGAGAGGGTCCGATCCAATGTTCCCTGCTCTGCAATCTGTCTTCCATATCGCTGTACCAATCGTTCCGCCTCCGCCTTCGTCCCGACTGGAGCTAACAACCTGGCCAAAGTGTACAGCCCACAATTTCAGGCAACTCCTTTATCGTGAACGCAGACTTCATGTTCTTGCAAATGTCCACAGTGACTTTGCTGTTTTCAGGTTGGTTTCATCACCAGCCACCGCCTGTCCTCTAGGCTTTCTGTCGTTTGCTATCGTTGGAGGCCCCAATTGCGAGTGCACTTGCCCTATATATACTTATTTCCATGTATACAAGTGATACTATAGATATAGCCTCCAAAACCCTAGTTATCCCTAGTTATACTATAGTTTCTACTGGCTTTATCATAAAATCACCATTCAGTTATAGTTATCTATAGCTTCTAGTACCATAAGTTACTTCTATCATAGTGTCAGTTAAGTATCTACATGCCATATCATAGTTATAGATACATATATATATAATATATAATATATATATATAATATATATATATATATACCATTAGTATATATGTATATACCATTAGTATATATATATATATACACCATTAGTATATATATATATATATTCCAAGAGTATATAACTATAAGTTGTCATATACTATTGCTATACTCTTAGATACTATGCCATATATACCATTAGTATCTATATAATATACCATTAGTATAGATACTAGACTATTAGTGATTTTTTTTCTACCATAGTACCACCATAGTACCACCAGCCACCCGCCAAGTGACACAGCTCCACCTTCCACTTGTCCGCCACCTTGCACTCGCTCCGCTGCACCTGCAGCCGGTCCAGCTCCACCACGTCGTGGCCCAGCGCCGCCAGCAAGGCTTCCATGGCTTCCTTTAAAGGGCACGATGGGTCACCGGCAGAAACGGAGGATTTAAGCAACTAAAACGAGGAAAACATATAGGATATAACTATAACTGTAGAATAAAACAGGGATAGATAGACAAACAAATAGATAGATAGACGGATAGATAGATGGATAGAATTTGACAGTGTATACATCGACAGGTTGATAATTATGACAAACATAATGCGTGTATATATATACACAATGCCATATCTAATAGCACGACTTGGCAGCAAACAATGTATATAGTATATTCTATAAATATATATATGTATACGTATATATATATAGCCTATTTAAGGTGGCTGCAACACTGGCTGTGCAACAGGCACAGTAACAAGCAACATTGGCGAGTTAAGTCAACAAACAGATTGATCATCAATGCAATGAGGATCAAATCAGCAGAAATACTGATATTTTTTTAAAAAACAATAATATGAGTACAAGGTGATCTGTAACACTGCCTGATAGTTACCCAAACCGTGGATTAAGCAAAACAAACCATTAGGTCTTGAAGGACAAAAAACAACACCGCAAAAAAAAGTGGTTTAATCATCAAGCATGTCATTTAACCAATTGAAGTCGTTGAACATGATTTCACCCCGCTGAAAGATTGTAATTTTAGACACCAAAACATATATGTCCCCTCTTACTGCATTTACATATTATACTATGATGTGCTCTGTTGACCAATGTCATACAAACACCAAGGAAAAATTACATCACCATACTAGACTCACTAGACTCCATTTTCAACTTCTGGATTTCTTCCTATATGGTGCAGCCATTTTTACCGAGAAAACACATCATTCATCACAAACTTGCACCCATGGATCTCCATCGCATCGCGCCATGGTTGTTTCACCGCAGGATGAACTATGGCTGGGGCACGTGATTTCTCCCAGGAATATGCCATGAATGTATGAAGTGTTTAAGCAGCTTTAAAGTACACATCTCCACGGTTGGCAAGCCAAAATTTATTTTTCATAATTAACTGTCACACCTCAGAATTTACATATTTCAATAATATTGACATATAAGACCACCATGTTTGACTTTCGTGACAGTCGCAGCTCTATTGATTGAATCACCTATTTTACTAAGCCTCAAATCTCTCAAATCACCATGTTTCCGAAGGTTCACTACCGCTTGTCTCATCATCTTTTGCACCTAGACCCTCCGTTTGTACTCTGAAACAAATGTGACTTTACTCCATAATCTTAGGGCTCTTACCTTTTTCTTGTGAGGTATTTGGAGGGTTTAGGTTTATCATGGTATATCTATATAAGTTCTAGTTATATATTCCAATGATAACCCCCCATAAATTTATCGTTATAAATCACCATATTACAATCATAAAACCATGATGATATCACCATATTACATATTTTATAACTATTATCACCATGTTATAATCATAAAACAAAAATCAGTATATCACCATATTACATATATGATAGGTATATCACCATAGATCCCCCAAAAAAAGTGGGTGAAATCCAGCCATCATCTGCCCCCTTAAAAGGCCCCCAAGGGTGACGTCCGGGCATCGGAGCCAGGGCAGCTGGGCTCGGGCCCCGAGGCTGACAGATCCTTCGAGCCCCGGCGGGAGGGCACCGGCAGCGAGGAGCGGCGGCGCCGGGCGCTGGTCAGGACGCGGAAGGCGCAGTCCGACTGGGTGGTGGCGCCTCAGAGGATCTTTCTAGGCTATCTATACAGGGTATATTATAATATACATATATCTGGGCAAATTACAATAATTCACTACCCTGAAATGAGGCCATGTTGGGATGATTCCTCTTATTAACCATGATTCCAGTGAGGTCGCAGTGAGGTCGTTATAATTTCCCCATATATATATATATATATATGTATTAAATTATTAGAATTATCTGGGTAAAAAATAATAGTTCACTACCCTAAATCTTAAGGCCATTTGGGGATGATTTCCCGCAATCTAACCATGATTACAGGGTATATATTATATATACCATCTTGTTATTTAACATAGCCATGGAAAATCACCATGCTATTAATAGGTAAACCATCTATAAATGGGCCATTTTTCATGGCTATGTCAAATAGCCAGAGGGTATATATATACATACATATAAAAAATGATATTATGATATATAATATGATGTTATGCATATAATATAAATTATATATAACTATCTTATATTTATAAAGGGTATCGACAAAGGAGTCTAAACTCTGATTATGGTTGGTGAAATCCCACTGATTGATGGTTATATATTATGGTGGGCTACATCACCATATCTTCATGAGTGCTGGGCTATGAGCAATACCAAGTTCCATGATCATCCAAGCCATAGTTTTGTACTATACCCATTGTATCCCATTTTTGTTGGCATCAATTTCCCTTTGTATCCCCACACTACTGAGCCAACTAAACCACCCTTGAATCATCAAATCCCCATGATCATCTTTCAACTGAATCCACATGTTCATTGGATTCCCAATCATGAATTTTGAATTCCAATCATGTGGATTCAGTTGACTAATCATCAAATTCCAATCATTCAATTAATTCTGATGTCTTTCTTGTTTGGATTACCTTCCGCCAATACGGCTTCTTGAAAATCCACCATTGAGTTTCATGATTTTCCCACACCGTTCAGGGATTTCCAGGAAGCCAGCCACGTGGCTGATTACCAAATGGAATAATGGGGTAATTGCCCATGTGTTTGGATTCAATTCCCATAATAATCTTCTCATCAATCACCATTATCATATTCTCATTACAATCCATTAAAATTCAATGTTTGCTTGGATTATCAAGGATTTTCGCATTGTTAATTTCAAAAACAATGATGGCTAAAAACTTCTTTGAGTTGTCATGATCCCCATGATATCCCCATGAAACACCACCCAACAAAGGTATTCACTATCTCCCCATAAAATTCAACTGTTGATGTAGCTCACACAATTCCACTTTGAATCATTAAATCTCAATATCTTCCCATAAATCCATGTTGTTCATTTAGTTCGTTCTCTTTTTTTTACTGCTTCCTTCACCTCTCTTAAAATCCACTTTTGCTCAGATTAATCCTGAGAACAGGATAGAAGTATAATGGGTCACTTTTGGTTAGTCAATTCTCGTATAATCCCCTACAATTCCCCACCATATGGTCATTATTGGTCACCCCCTCAAAAACACATGATCTCCCCGTAAAGTCCAAATGTTCACTTGGTTTATTCCCTTCAAAGTCCACTTTTGGATATATACTTTTGGTTCTAAAACCCATATGCTCCATGGTGCTGGAATATTTACCAACATTTGCCCTAAAACTCTCCAGAAATATACCGTAGATAACAGAAATATACCGTAGATAGAGGCTCCATGGGTAATGGGTCACTAACAAATCGCCCTGGCTAAGCTGCCCATGAAGTCCTCAGCCTTCTCTCCCGGATGCAACCCGCGCCGGTCCCCGAAGCGTGACCGAGAGCTGCCACGCGTGAAGGTGCCGAAGTGGAAGCCTCGGAAGGGAAAATAGGGCAAAAAATGCTGCCAATTCATAGGGAAAACGTAGGGAAAACATAGAAACATCTGATGAAAAACATCATCTAGGACAAATATACCGACCCTCCGTTTGTAAAATTCAAAATGGTGTTTTAGCCCATAATCTTATATAGTACTTTTACCATTTTTTTTGGGTAGTTGGAGGGTCTAGGTATAGGAAAACGGGAAAATGAAGATTTACATGGATTTGTAGCAACCAAATGGGTATTTGTGTTTGTTTCGTAACTCCCAAAAAGATATAGACAAACCATGAAACATTATAAAACATGAAAAACATGTACCCAGTGATCTTCGCCGTACCGAATTACTAACTAGTCTAGTTGAGACATGGCCCTGACGAAGTGCTTCTTTGGTGAGGTCAGGGGTCGGTCGCAACAGCTGGTTCTAGATGGTTATCATTGGTAAAAACAGGATTTTCTATAAATCTATAACCAGCTGTTCTTGATAGCCATCTAGATATCTAGCAACACCATGCTCTTGATGTTCTATCACCATTTTAAAAACCTATTTAACATAGCCATTCATTGTATAGATGGCCCATAGAAATAGATGGTTTACCTATTAATAGCATGGTGGATCTTTCCATGGCAAACTCTTAAATAACCAGATGGTAAATCACCAGTTTTGAAGCATCAAATCTGCAATTTTCGCCCAAACACCATGACCTCGGCGGTCGTCCTCTGTCGACGCCTGCACCTCTCCTCAGAGTTTTTGGCGCCACAATCAATGGAGATCTGGTTGGTGGTGCAATAACCATCTTGAAAAATATGAAAGTCAATGGGAAGGATTATCCTATATATCATGGAAAATAAAACATGTCTGAAACCACCAACCAGAGATATAACAAACTAAAATATGCAAATATATGTTGATGTAAAACCAACTTGAGATATTTGGGTGTCTGAACATAGGGGTATACATCTGGTATAGCTGCACTTTATGGCAATATATGAGGAACACATTGATCAACAGCTGGATTTTGGCCATCATTTTCGAACAAACTGTATATGCACATGCGTATATATGTGTGATATATATATATATATATATATATGCATATACAGATGCACGACGAAAAAATTAGGAAAATGTGATGCAACATGAACAAGGTGGACAAGCAGTTCTTCATGTAGAGCATGGGAAACACGCGTTTCTGAGCGTTGGTAAAATCCATGGAACCCACAATGTTGGATGTTGGGAACTGAACATGGGGAACTGAACCCCAATTTGTAACCTTAAAAAGGAACATTATGATGAACTACTGGTTTTGGGAAACTATGCATATATATATATACATACATAGTATATATGTATATATATATATATATAGACAGTTTACATATATAAAGATAATATATATATATATATACATATGTATACAATGCTATGCTATATTATGTTATGTTATGTTATGTTATGGTATGTTATGTTATGTTATGCATGTATACAGTGTAATATATATATATATATATTGATCAAACAAACCTAAAATCGGATTGGTTAAAAAAAAAAACTCAACAACAATGGGACAGTTAGGCAACAATTGTGATTAGCTTACTGATGAAATCCCCCAAGGGATCAGAGGTCTTTTTAAGCCAAACAAGATCCCATGGGATCCCCAATAGCTGGAGGGTTTATATATTTCATGGGAAAATCCCCATCTATAAATGGATGAACAGGGGTACCCCCCTATGACTTAGGAAACCACCATTTGATCAAGCTTGGAAATGTCCCAACAGCATAGTCTACTTCAAGACGACATCAGAGGTAGCAACTCGTCCGGTTGACCGGCAAGAACCAACTGATCTCATGCTCCGAACAGCAAACAAATCCAAGGTTGGCACCCCCCCAGTCATGATTACCATCTTGTAAACAAACATAGCTATGGAACATGGCCCATTTATAGTGGATTTACCCATTAAAAATGGTGATTTTCCATAGTTATGTCATGTTAGTTTACCGGAGGATAGGGTCCGTTGTTACTCTGCACCAGGGTTTCTGTATCAATGGTTTTGATCCTTCGGTGGTTGGTGAAATATCGAAGTCAAAAAAGGGGTCCAGCACCCGAAAAATGTATCCTTTCTACAAGATACTGACCCATTGATATCACATCCAACTTACAATGGGGCCCAATGTAAAGGTCGAGAATTTTCCACAACCACCAAATACTCTTCTTCCGGGGTGCAGTTCCTGTGAACTAAGTGGCTATATTTCACCATAGCTACAGGGCCCCCATATCCCAACTTCGGTGAGAATCCCATGGCTATAGTCATGTAGAAGCTCTGGCTATAGCCGCCCCCAACCAAATATAGATGATAGATAGATAGATAGACAACACTTATTATAGATAGATATAACTCCCCAAGTAGGACAAGCCATGCTGAAGCAAATCTCAGTTCTCCATGCAGAAACTTCGAGGGCACCCGACGTTTCTCTCTGGGTTCTCCTTCGCCTTCCAGGTATTCCTTAGAGCTACGATTGGATATGGCTGGATGTGACCAGGCATGGTAAGTGTTTTACCTTTCAGTAAATTAAGATAGGCCCTGCCGAGCTTGGAGGGTATAACTGGGCGTATTCCACATATAACCGGGATAGAAAAAACGTACTGGGATGCAGCCGCAATTGTAGATCATGCCCCAACTATATTCAAATTCCGCAAGTCGGTATGTTGCTGCCTAATCTCTCCACACATTTATTTTACAAGAAAACACAGATACTCTTAACAAATGCGTCCTGAGATATCTGGAGAAGATCTTACTGTAATCATTGGAGAAAATCAGGACCATGGCTGATGGATAAGGATCATCAACTTCTGTTAACTCATTCCACCAGAATACTGGCGTTTTAGCCCTGAAGGTGGTTCCTTCCGTAAATTTGAACTATCTCGAACTCCTCATGTTCTCGTCGAACATCAACCCCAGTTTGCTGGAAAGTGACTCTGTCACAGTAAATGATCGAATATATATATATATATCTATACATATTATATATAATATTAAATATAGATGTATATACACCCAAACTTGCTTGCATCCAAGCATCCCCCAAGTTCATGGATGATCCTCCCACGTTGCTCTCTGTGTCATCGTTGTAGGGGTCCCACACCTCACCCTCTTCATCTTCTCCGGAAGTTGCACCACCAGCAGCTGCTTTCTTCTCGGCTGCTGCCGCTGCGCCCAGCAACACTGGCCCAGCAGTTAAGCTGTTGACCTGGCCGCTGGGATCTGCTGTCCTATATCCCATCCTGATGAAAAAAACATCCACCAAATACCATGGTTTAGTAAGGGATTTGCAGATATTTGGGATCGTCTAAGGGGTGTTTCACATGAGGGGATGGGATTACTGGGTAGGCTATATAGACGACATTGAAAAGGGCGCCCTCCCAATGGTACCCCCAACTGATGAGGCTTAATACGCTCCTAACCAGGAAAAGGGTTGACATTTGGGAGGTACAAGTACAATGGAACCAACCGACAAAACTCAATAAATCTTAAGAAATACGCTTGTCATAGTGGCATTATATAAGTGGATCAGTATAAAATGTATGAAGGTTGCTGGTGGAAAACATTGTTGAAACATGTTGAAGCATATGAAAATCATGTTAAACTCCTATACTTACAGAATGTTGTTGACAACCCACAAAGGCTTGGTAAAATATTCTGCAGCAAAAAAACAACATTCTTCAGATGATGTTTCTTCGTATCATATTGGATCTCCAATCACAAAGATTGCGCAGGACGATTAATCAGAAACAAATGATGATTGACCCCAAGTAATGGGCCCACAATCCATAGTTGCTAGACATCATCACGAGGCCTCTTCGATGGAATTTATGGGAATTTTCCATGGGATTTATCCACAGCTTGGGCCCGCTTCCTGTATGCATCCTTGTTGGTTATTCTACAAGTATTACAAGTATATCAAGGTGGTGCCCCAGTTGGTTAACTAAGTTGGCGAACTTAAGTTCAATAACTATAGGGTTTATTGTAGATATAATTGCAGCCACGGATCACAAACCAACTTGTAACTGGGAGGGCACCACCTTGAAGTTATTTTAAAAAACAAAAAATACATAAATAAAATAACAATAATAACAATAACAACAGACGATCCTGCGCATTGATCCTGGATAACATGGTTTAGTTCACCCATGGTTCATATCATATTCATAAATTGCAGGGGGGTTATCAACCAATTCATAATCCAGATTAATCCATCACTGAATTGGTTTAAGGGAACATTTACAGGAAACCAGGGTTTTGACCATTAAATGTGGGGCTTTCCGGTTAACATTTTCCCGTAAACCAATCCAAAGAACCGAGAAACAGTTCGCCGTTTCTGGCCAGGACATATCCCAATCATAGGGGCTGAAATCAGCCAGTTACAAATATAATCTATTAGTCTATTAACTATATATGTACTAATGAATTAACTATATATAATTACTATTAACATCATATATGTTTCCACAAAATTATCTCATGCCACATAAATAAATACATATATATATACATATCGTTGGTTGGAGATAATATCCACTAAACGATGGTTGGTTGGTATCACCCATCATATCCCTGTTATACCCCTATGATCTCCGGCCTTGTCCGGGGTCGGCGTCAGGCTGCGGGAGATCCGGCGCTCCGCCTGCTGCAAGCCTCGGGGGCGAAAGGGGGGATGTTCACTGGAGCAAGAAACATAGGGAAATTCTACAGGAAACCATGGCTTTTCCCCATAATCTAGGGATTATCATGGGATTATATTTGGAATATATGGGATCTCCCATGGAATTCAGTTGAGTTTAATGGGAATATAATGGGATGTAATGGGATTTGTATATCAGTATGGAAACATAGATACTGGTTGGTTATCTAGGAGAAATCCTATAGAACTATATGGAAATCATGGGGTTTAATTATGGATTTATAGGATTTCCCCTCTGGTAAACGTTTACGTAACTATGGAAAATCACCATGCTATGAAAATGGGTAAATCCACTATGTCGACTGGGCCATTTCCAATAACGAACTGTTAGTTTACCAGAGGGCAATGGGATATCCATGGGATATTGATAAGATCTTATTAATGGTATAAATGGAATATTAATGATATATCAATGGCATATTAATGGGATAATATGGTGGTTTCCATAAATGGGGGTTACCCCCAAATGGATTGTTTATTTCAGGGAAAATCCCTATCTATAAATGGATGATAACTGGGGTACCCCTATTTTAGGTAACCCCTATGGTGGTTTGTAAGATGTTCAAAACACACCTCTTTTCGGGATAGAATGGGATAGAATAGGCTAATGCAGGTTTTTGGATATCAAAAGGATGGGTTAAGAAACCCAACTGGGGGGGCACCACCTTGCATAAATCAACATAAATCAACCTATCCTATCCAATCCTTTCACCGGCGAGGAACTTGCTTCTCTTTCCAGCGTCATGGTACCAGACTTTGACAGCTTTCGTCCACCGGCGTTCACTGAAAGGCTGCCGGTGCCATCCTTGGATCAGTGTATCCTACGATGTGGGGACCCCCGCAGTTGTTGTTGTTGTTGGTTTGTAAGCCCCATGAAGTATAGTTATTTGCGTAAAATAAACATCAATAAACCATATGAATTGGAATTATGTGCGCCAACTGAACGCTATCGTGGCCGGGGGCCCCACGACTTGTATGTTTAGCCCATGTTCGATTGACCTAGTGACCATATAGTTGCAGAAATATATGACAATAATTATGTGGGCAACCCTGGCCATAAACAACTGCCCTTTGGGGATGGTTGGAATTCCACCCATAAAAATTCTGATGACTGGGACATGGTTTATGGCATTGAGCTTGCCACATTCATGATAGCATGTCATAATCGATACTGTTATTTTTTTTATCCAATAACCTCCCAATGGCGTTCAAATATAAAACAATGTGGTAGTCTTATTATTGTTATCCAAAAACCTCTCAATAACCTCCTGATATAACATAATATAGTAGTAGGAATACTATAATGGTTATCCAATAAACTCCCAATAACCTCCCAATATAACACAATATAATAGTACTATTATGGTTATCCAATAACCTCCCAATAACTCTCCTACTATAACAAATAATGATTCTAATGGTATAACATAGTATAGCCTCCTATACTACCCCCTGGGTCCTAAGAAATAGATAGAAATACCAGGTTATCCTGGTTATCCTCATATGATACCCTCTGGTAAACGTTTACATAACTATGGAAAATCACCATGTTTCATGGGTAAATCCATTATAAATGGCCATTTTCAATAGCAAACTGTAACAAATTACCAGAGGGTATATATATATATATATACATATAGATATCCTATGATATATCTATGATTATCCTAATAGACCCATTTCCTCATAATATGATAATCATAGGATAAACGGACAAAATGCTCTTTCGTTTGCAGAGATCCAAGGTGCATGCAATGCATAGAGACGCTCTTGTTTTCAACTCTTCTCTGAAAGGCCTGAGGTGCTGAGTCTGCCACGTTTCACTGGCACCAAATGGCTTCAAATCAGCCATCAGCAGAGCCACTCTGGTAGCCAGAGAACATGGTGGAAAACGTTGGCCCAGAGAATTGCTATGTAAATGCCAAAGTGGTGGTAGCGGGTGGGTTTTTGACTTGAACCTCACACCACTCCACAGAAAAAATCAAAGGTTAAATACTGCAAACTCACTCACTTGATTGTCACAACGCATTGTTATGCTCCTCGACAAAATGCTCTTTCGTTTGCAGAGATCCAAGGTGCATGCAATGCATAGAGACGCTCTTGTTTTCAACTCTTCTCTGAAAGGCCTGAGGTGCTGAGTCTGCCACGTTTCACTGGCACCAAATGGCTTCAAATCAGCCATCAGCAGAGCCACTCTGGTAGCCATCCTCGGGCTCTGCTGCCCCATCCTGCACGAGGAATGTCTCCTCAGAAAGCGCCGCGAAAGCATCCACTGCCTCCGAAGTAGCAAAGCTAATGTCGCCTGCCACACGAATCAAAAGCTTCCAGAATGGTTCAAGGTTCAAATGAAGTCGTTGCCAGGAAGGTTGCACAATGTCAAAGCGAAATCTGCTGATTGGGTCCGCAATGTTTTGAGCCGACGGCACCCACTCAAAATGAGGATAGATCTGCAAGCGTCCGAACCAGCACCATAGAAAGGACATCACACAATTGATTGCGTGGTCACGGCCATAGCCCTTGCTGAGGCAGCTTTGCCCTGGTTGGTTGTCGATGTAGCTCACAACGTAGGCGGAAAAATGCTTCCGCAACAGGACAAATGCAATGACCTGGGTCAAGATTTCTAAAGCAAAAATGTAGGCCTTCCGTTTGGCGAAGACCTTCAAAACTTCTGGTGGTATGACACCAGCACAAAAGAGAGTCTGTGCACCGATCTTGAGGACAATCCCCCAGCCGTTGATCAGTAGCGGTGCCTGATTGGTATCCCACTTCTTGGGGATGTTCTCATGGTCACTGGCATGCCAAACGTGTTCCCCCAGTTTGAAGAAAGCATCCGTGTAGAGCACCGTAACAGGTTGGTCGGCCTGAAATGGAAATCGCCTGGGTGGCATGCATGGAATCAGGGCCCGTAAAGTAGTGAGCACCGCTGTCAAAGCATGAGTTAATTGGTCATTCTCAACTCGATCAGAAGGTAGGTGGTGAGCACGAGCATACAAAGGCGCAAGCAGTGCCATACCCATCTGTCCAAATGAAGTCGTTTGCAAGAAAATCAACTTGCCTGACAGTGTTTGAGCTTCTTCTGGCGTCAAGCGATTGGACTGCAGGTAGGTAGTGATGTTGGTCATCAGACGTTCGACCCGTTGTGGACAAGGGTGCAGAGAGGCATCATGGGTCGTGGTCGAAATCATCACCCCGAGAATCTTCTGAATCTTCGCTGGTGGTTGGGCCTTCTTGGCTTTTGTCTGTAAGCCCAAAACCTCAAATAGCAAGGCAAAAGATCGAAAGCCTGATTCGGCTAACGGGGCTGGTTCGGTGGCCCCGAAGTCATCAACGAAGTGTAGGCTTGGACACCACAAGAGCTTCCGCGCCAGCGTAGTCAGAGTGTCGGCTGCCCTGTTGAAAGACCAAACCGACGACACCGCGCCGAAACTCATAGCATTGTGGCGAAAAAGGACAACTCCTCCTGGCGTCCTCATGAAGGTGTAGTTCTCTTCAATACATGCGACAGCGAACTGTCGGTAGGCTGAGGCCATGTCGTGCCCCCAAGTGAGGCACAAGTTGCATCCATCTGCCAGGGCCACCGCTGAAGCAATGTAGTTGTCCACAGTGTGATGCAAGGGGCTGTCACTCACCCGGACGGTTGAGTTGTGCCCGCTCCTCCTCCAATCTTCACATCTCCGTACTTTATCTGACTGCTGCACTGCAAAGCACCCTGCTGACAAAACGTGGTGGTGCGGCGCTGGCATCATTGGAAGCCCATTCACTGACGTGCCAGGAACCCCCCATTCAGCCGGAGTCTCGAAGGGCCCGTCAACTCGGCCCATCTGATGCTCTTGCACGAGCTCATCCAACATCGATTTCCAGTGAGGATCGATGAGCCTGGAATTCAGCTTGCGGGCAACGTAAGCTTTGTTAACCTGGAGAAACTCTTCCCTGGAAATGGGACTAGTGTAGCGGCTGTCCAATCGAGGGAGCCAGCCAGCTCCAGGTGAAAGTTGCCCAGTGGTCGGGAAGCCGACGGTGAGCTCCTTGGCAAGGGTGGTCACGTCTGGGTACTTGATCTGTTCCAGGAGCCACATCCAAAGCGGCACTTGCAGAAAGCCCCCAGATTGAGAGTACACCTTGGCGACATGGTTGGGCAGAGTTGCCTTCCAATGGTCGTGAATCTCACGAAAGTCATCAGCCAGTCGCTGTAGGTCTGCGATCACCTCAAGGCGCAGCCGGTTGACATCTCCCCATCGCCGCCACTTGTCAAAGACCTGAATGATGCCAGGTTCAATGTGTGAATTGCAGAACAGCGGATGGACTGCCTGGTCAGTGGCCTCCCAGTGATCCCACATGTTGAAGGTTGGACGTTTGGTGCAAACCTGTTGAGTCCACTGTGTTGGGCCCAAGAGCAAAGGTTCATTGGCTGCCAGCTCCAGGACGAATTGCAAAGCGCTTGTACGTGGTGCAGGAGTTGGTGCAGCCAACGCGCCACATTGTGAAAGTATCAGCAAAATCAGTAGCTTTGCCACCTGGAAATGCCAGGCGTTGGCTAGCATCCGATGCCGAGCCCGTTCATGGACCCCAGGAGCCTGAGTGAAGCCAGCCGGGAAGCCTTGGAGCTGCTCTTTCACCCCAATCGGTGGGGTGTGGAGTCGCCCCGTGGAGTCTGAGAGCATGGCAGTGTCTTGGTAATGCCATGGGGCATATTGCCGATTGTCTTGTTGCCAGCGGAGTTTCACAGAAGGAGGGATGTGCCCCTTCATTTTCTTCGGAGGAGGCCTACCTGCCTGGTTTGGGGCAGGCGTTGTAAGGCATGGCAACTTGGCCTGCCCGCTCCTGACCTTGTCATGAAACTCCAATCCATCTGTCTGGATGTCATCGGTCGTCACCCGTGGCAAATCCAAGATGAGCTTGGGGAGCTTGTGGACCTTTTGCCATTGCAGCGGTTTGCCAGTCATGGGACAGCTGCTCAAATCACACCACCTGAGGCGTGTCCAGAACAACCTAGGTCTGGAAATGATGGAGAAATCAGCCGGGTCAAGTAGCACCGGTTGGGCTTGAAGTGCATCAGTGAAAAACCTGACATCACCTGGGTTCTGCATCAACACGTTCTCAATCAACGGCACTGTGTCGCGCGGCTTGACCAGCTTCTCCAAACGGCTCAAAAACTTGGAAAACCTGACAAACTTGCTGCCCTCGTGGCCTTCTTTGCCCTGAGCACTCGCAGCAATGCCACTGAAGTCGGGGCACGGTGGCCCGCCAGAAACAAAGATGATAGCCAAACCTGACGGGTCAATCTGTTGGATCGTCTTGGCAAGCTCCGAAGGGTTATCTGCATCCACGTCTCCTCGATGTTGAACATGAGGAAAATGGCGATCCAGGACCCGAATGCAGTCGGGGCATGTCTCCCAGGAGAGATAGGCCAGCGGTCGGCCGATCACCTTCTCCAGTGCCAGCTCAGCGGTGCCGACGCCGTCAAAGAAAGCCAGGTGGATGAATTCCTTCCCCATAGAGGTCAAGGATGGGGTCAGTGCCACAGTAGTGTTGGTTGTGCCCTGGTCGGGTATCAGAGCAACTGGGGCACTTGCTCTGACCCCGGGCTGTCCCTATTTGTCTTTCGGTGCCTCATTCGGAGGCCGTGGCTGTTCCCAATCCTTCTGTCGCTGCCATGATTGCCATCCGCCACCTGAAGAGCGATGTTGCCATGAGGAAGAGCCCTGAGATGGAGTCCAATCTGAATGACCCCAACGTCCTTTTCCATATGGAGCCCAGCGATACAGATGCTTCTGTTTGCCAGACTTGCCAAAGCCCTTGGGTGGATCGGCCTGTCGGCCTTTGGCACCACTGCTGGTCTTCTTGAGAGAATCTTCCTTGGCCATGTGTTCGGCAAAGCGGTCATAGTCATTGATGATCTGCTTGGCTGCCGCAGAAAAGGTCATGCCATCCCGCATTGCCATAGCAATGCGCCATCCACAAGCGCTCCAGTACAAGCTCATCTGCTCGCATTTGGCTGGCCGAGACCTGGCTCTCTGGCACATCACATCGCAGTACTCAGTGATGTCCAACTCATCACCCAATTGCACCAAGATCATGGCCCATTTGGCCGCCACGATGCCATCCAAGACGGCCAGAATAGAGCGAGGCTGCCAAACCGCTTCCTCCTTCTGGACCAGGGATCCGTCCTCCACGTAGAGGTTCGTCAGTTTCTTCTGACCTTTGGCAAGGGGATTCAAGTCCCCGTTGCTCTGGAAGGATCGATGTTGGAGGATCTCTCCAAGGTGGAGAGGCGTGTAGAGCTTGGATCGATGATGCTCCCACCACACACGAGCCACTATCGATTCAGCTCCCATCAATTCCTTCACCGGAAACTGTCGGTCCCTTCCATGGAGTTGCGCACTGTTGTACTTGTTCAGCAAGGAACTCCAAACGCCATTTGGGAGCGTCTTCGGGACTTTCTCATCTTTGGGGTCAGCCGGAGAAGTGGTCGGAGTGGCAGTCTGTGGGGCCACCACCTGAGCATTGAGATGGTTACCTGCAGATTTCAGCCAATGACTACGGGCCAGGTTCCACATGTGCAAGATCATGGCGTGGGCTATTGGCTTGTCAGCATCCGCCACCGTGGCCACATTGGGTCCATCCTTCCAGCCAGCCATCAAAGGCGTAATCAATGCCTTGTCCAGCTGGGTCTCATCTGAAGCTATCAAAGCAAGAGTGCCCACCGTGGTTATGCCGCGAAGCTTCAGGTACGAACGCACCACCGCCGAAGCAGCTGCTTCATCAGCCACATCGTCTAACGACGGTAGTCCGCCCCTCATGCTGGGCCAAAAACTGAAAGGACAAACGTCCAAACCCTGCTTGCATGGTGCTTGATGACTGGAGAAATCAATAAAAGGGTAAAATCCAAAGCAAGGAATCAACGGAAATCGCAAGAAGCCAAATGAGAGAGAGAGGGATGGCAGGACCTGATCCAATGATTGCACATGACATCAAACGACGCCCAGGTGAGGATGCTCGCACAATTAAATGAACACGCAAATAAATAGAAATATACATGTATATACACACATATATCCATGCGACTCGAAAACAAAACGAAATGCTATGGAAAAAGATCAAACGATCAAATGCAATGGAAATAGATCAAACGATCAACTGACGCGGCGTGTTCCCTCGAATTTTCATCACACCAGGTTCGATCCAGGGAAGCATATATGGACTCTGTGGTCGCTTCCTCAACTGGGCTCCTCATCCGAGGAGTCTTCGGAGGTGGACACCCCGCTGCTATTGGATGCGGATTCATCATCGTCCGCCGTCGTGCCAGGATCATCTGAGAAACACTTGCGGCATTTGCTGTGTTCAATCGAAAGCTGCTGCACTCTGTAAAATCTGAGTTGCCGTATGCCCAACCGCATTTGGCTCGCCAGAACGCAGGCGGGTTCTGTAGCTCATCAAGTTGGGCCAAGTGCACCTTGCGCGATCTTGCTCTGACCACGAGGGTGCGCTCAGGTGGCACCATCGCTGATTGCAGAGCAATAACCGCTGCTTCAAGGGCCGACACTCGTGTCAGTGCCGATGGATCCAGCTCAAGTGCCGTCAATGGTGCCTGAGCCGCTTGTACATAGGATAAACAAACAAATACGTTTTTGCTTTTTGCTTCAACAAATTTTTCAAATACATTTTTTGGACTCAAATCAGCCGAGTACAATTTTTTAACAACCTTGGGATTTCCAGGCCCTCATATGATAACTATCAGCTCCGAATTTCGTTGGGATCGACCCTGGGATCGCAGCTCCAAGCATCGCTCACCGACTGACTGCGATTGGGAGATCCATCCACCGACAAGCTCTGGCCACCGCTACCGTCCTGGGAACGTGGCAAGTACAGCATTTTGGATGCTCAAATTGGCTCAAATCCATTCCCAGATGCGAACCATGGTGCTGGTATATGAATCCCTACATGACTGGGTCATAAAAATGGGGTTTCAATGTAGGTGTGCTGGAATTCCAGCACCATGGTGAGCCAATATGGGATTGCAATCCTCCATTTTCCATCGTTTTCCATCATTTTTCCTGCAATGTGAGGCCCCCGTTCGATAGCTAAGTTGGTGCACATAACTCCAATAACTATGGTTTACAGTAGTTATAACCCATAGTTACTGGGGCGAATCTAAACCAACAAACATCACTGGGGGGCCTCACATTGTGGGTGAATTCCACCATTTTCGCTGGTGACGTCCGAGCCACGATGGTCGCGGCCCGGTCCAGGTTCGCGGTGGAGCCCCGGCGCACCGTGGAGTTGGCGCGCTTCACGCGCTCCGCGGCGGCTTTGGCGGCCTGAAACCAGAGATCCGGGGTTAGGGTTGGATATCTTTATTTGTACATATATTATGGGGATATACATATATATGTATGATATATGTGGACGTGTGTATATAATTGTACGTGTTTTACTTGTTATATTAAGTATCAGCTATAATAGTTATATTACAGTTAATTGGTAAACTTAGCTATGAAAATATGATTTTACATATTTGTTATATCTCATATCATCCCTTCAATACATATCCAAGCCAAAACTATACACTGGAATAGAGTATTTGTTATATTAGTTATGATTTGGAAATATAAAGGAAATATAATCTACAGTACATGTAGTGAAATACTATTATGACATATACTGAAATATAATGAGTTAATGGATCTCCAGAAAATGATAAGGAAATAGGAGTTTATAGTGGGATATAGGTTGCCATCCCAGGCAAGGTGGTGCCAACCCCAATCATGTTAGTTGATTTATAAACCCAATCAAGTATAGACAGTAGATAGATAGATATATATATATAAATATGGAAATATATATTATATCATTATCTATCCACCATACTACACCCATAGACCTAGCAACAATTTGAAATATCAACCAACTTCGCAAACTGTGGGGCGAACCCTCAAAGTCACATGACTCAGAAGCATTGACAATCCACAATTAACACAGGCGTAAGGTGAGTCATTGCGGCTTTCTGGGTAATATCCCATTTATCACTGGGTTCTCTCATATACTATGAAGTATGTGTACACCCCATGGATTCAAATAACCATTTGAATTAGAAATTGAATATTGGTATATCTAGTGTTGTTTGTTTTCAAAAAATGAAACCTTGTCCAGCAACTTTCAATGGGAGCAATACTCCTGAAATATAATGATGTCATTCCATTTAATAGTGGAAACTATGGGGTATATCCGGTGGGGTAGACTACCAAACTACCAGGGTTTAATACCATAGACAAATGTTGTTTGCCTAAAAAAGGGATCCCCATTGTTGCCATGGTTGTTTCAATACTAGTTTATGGTCTGTTGAGTCTATTTACTCGGACACCTGAAAGAAGTTAAGATCATAAGCTCTGCATCCCAAACATGTTCTTCTAGCCCTGCGATGTCATGATCTTTATTTCACCGTTACTTGTGGGTGCAGTTGGGCTAATCATTGGGTTCAACCAAAAGTGATACGCCCCATAAGCTGGTATATAAACCCTACAGCTATGGTTATACAACTTATGGTTAATATACCAAGTATAGTAACATCTTGTTTACCCTATAAAACTACAGTAACATCTTATGGTTAACCCTACAACCACTCATAACATCTTATAACTGGAACTGCGCCCCCAAGTAGATCTCCCATATCGGTTCGACAAAACCCTCTGATGTCCTAAACTAAAAAAAACGAGCTTCAGTCCGACAGAATCGGGCGACCAAATGGTTGTGAACAATGGGTGGGTAATAACACCTTTCCAAACAAATAAACAAAAAACGCGGGAATTTGGCACATTTATCCGGCTGAATCATATCCTTTACTATTTCTTGCTATCTCTTTCTAATCATGCCTTAAATGTCTAGCTGAATCACAATAATTAATCATTGTTTATGTCCATTGTAGTCATTATAGTTGAAGTAATTTCAATAATTACTTACTTGGTGGTTCACCCCAGTAAGTAGGTTATAGCCTAGTTATAAACGTGCTAAGCAGGCTTAGCCCACTTATAACCCGGGTTATAACCCACTCCCTAACTGGGATGAACCACCAAGAAGTAGTCTAATTCAGTTATGGTCGTTTACCAATTATAAATGGTGAAGTTGTTGTTGTTTCAATGGGATTCTACACCATAAATGGGCCCATAAACGGGGTTATTTCAGTACTTATAACTGGTATCCCCTCGGGCCCCTCGCCCCCTCCCCCGCGCCTCCACGGCCGATTCTCTGATTTCGGGGATGTAGAATCCGCCTCCGATTCCTGAGGTGTTGCGGAGTCTGGCTCCAACTGGGATCAGCAATGTGCATCATTGTTTTATCATCTTTTCACCATGTTAATATAGGGATAATGACTAGACTCACTAAACTCATGGGGATCATGATGGATCATGACCAAATATGCTGTTCTAACATGTTTTAATCATCAAATTGGATCAAATCAAGGGATATATAATGTGGAACGTTGACTCAACATGACACTTCGAAACACCAAAAAGGCAAAGGAATAAACAAACTCAAACGAACTAGCAACAACCAACCGGGAACAATTGCCATTCTTTTGGACTATCTTGCGAGTTTCACAATGCGAGTTTCACACACACAATTTCATCCATGCCTTCGCTGTGGTCGCCAATCGCCAGCGCCAAACAACAGATGCCATTTTGTGGCCATCCTCCAGTACATTCCTCTGGTTTGTTGTATCCTCCTAAATCCCATGATATCCGGCCCGTGTGATGGCTAAATGCCCCGGATCAATAAACCCTGACATACCCTGACTATTGATGTGAGGAATTTGCCCCATTCAAATTGGTAATTTGGGTCCACTACTTTTGAGCTGGTAAACCATGTGGGAAAGCTCCGAGCACACATTAAGCGAATGGATCCCCAACAAAAAATCCTATATTGTATTTGCTACCATGGTTTGAATCCCCGTAATTCTCTATTGAATCCCTACAGTATAAATCCTTACTACATCACCCTAGAAAGTCCATGGAAAAATCCGTTAACGAACAGATCATTGTCCCACTTCCTTCGTCGAAGCCACGGACGGAGTTGGGAATGGGCGGTTCCGGGGGCGGCACCGGCGCTTCTTGGATTCGAATCCAACCTACGGCGGCAAAGATTGATGGGTGCCACTGGTGGTTCAGGGACAAGTGGAGTTTATATGGATATGGGCTTATGTTTTAACTAACTAACTAACAAACAAACAAACTAACTAGCTAACTACAGTAACTAAGTAACTAACTAACCAACTAACTAACTATCTAACTAACTAACTAACTAAGTAACTAACTAACTAAGTAACTAACTAACTAAATAAATAAATAAATAAATAAACTTAACTAACTAACTATAGTAATCAATCAAACAACAAAGTAAGTAATGAAGAAAGTAATGAACTAATCGATTAACTGGATTAACTGACAATCTAACTGACTAATTACCTAATGAAGTGACTAACTGATTAACTGACAAATTCATTGACTACCTAGCTAACCAACTGGTTAACAAACTTTTCAACTAAACTGGTTGAACTGGAGTACTGAGGTTTACATACACTTATGCAGTACGGTTTTATGGTAGCTGCAACTAACACTGACTAGGCGCGCAACATTAGTTAAGTACATCCCTGTCTGAACTAACTAGGATAAGTGAGGTTTACGGCCTTTAAAACTCGGGGTTTATACAGTATGGACTATAGATGTTTGTGGTAAGCTATACGATAAAGGCAACAACAAGGTACAACAGAAGGAGGGGCCCATGCTATGCCCAGGAAAATATGGGAAACTGGGGAAAAATCTTATAAATCCCACTAGATTTATCCTTACAGTCCCTACATATCTTTATAAGTTTTGCATAGTTTTGCGGGGACGTGCAAAACAATCCCATGTGCTCCTCCAAGGGTAACAGATGTACGAAACCCTCGAAAACAGAAATGTTACCTGTGTGCATAGGCATCGTATGGCTTCGCAGATTCGTAGATCTTGAAGACGGGGTAAAACGGCATGATTTTCAGAGCCATTCAAATTCACTCTATATTCACCCTTTCATGTGCAATTCAAATTCCAGCAATGGTACAAGCTTCACTTCTTGCCCAATAAAAAAGCAGAAGGGGGGCTCAAAAGAGGCGCATCTTTCGGTAAACGTTGGTTTTCACATGTCATTTGGGGACGAGACAAGCATCCATGGCCTCCGACTTTAGATTCATGAATCACAGCGGAGCGATAAGCCTCTGTAGATATCCCTGGTACAGCATTTAGCAGGTGGATTTATGGAACAGCTCCAAAAAATCGAGATTTCCGTTTCATGGGGTACCCCAAAAGCACCATCCAAATCATGGATGACCATGACGACTAGTATTGACATCCATGGTGACTTGGGGATCCCACATGACTTTGGAAACACCTTTATATGGGCATTAAGTTATATCCCATTAAATCACCATGTTTGTTGGTTACATCCCATGAAAAACCCACGATTTTTGTAGGATGACCATGGTGGTTGTAGCATCGGCCCGGCTACGCCGCTACCCGGAAGCCGAGAAGCAGAGCTCTTGGCGATGGAAGAACTCAACTCCTGGATCGATGCATGGCAAAGGGAACCAATGGCTAGAAAAACTGAGTTTTTTTTTGGAATGGCAGCTACAAGGTGGTGCCCCATAGTTAGCTAAATTGGTTTATAAGTCCAATATCTAGGGTTTATGGGGGTTATATCTATAGTTAATGGGGATTATAAACCAACTTATAACTGGGGGGTACCACCTTGTAATGGTACCAATGGGAGGTACATCTATAATTAGGGTATATATAATGGGATGGGATGTACATGAAATGTAGTAATACATTACTTTGAATGCAAGGATATGTAGTGTATATCAAGTAATAGGAACAATAGCATGTCATTGGTACCTTGTTATAGATTCTAGATGTTATAGATGTGGCCATGTACTGAATTATATATATATATCCTTTTAGATACTATTGAATTTAGGGTATACCAATGCCCAAAAATAATTCTGGTCGAAACTGATTCTACAATTATGTTGTGAATGTAACCTCTGGTGAGATCAAATGTTGCAATGACAAATCCTCCATTCATAGATGATGATTTTCCCAGCTATAGAGCTCCGTTTATGAAGGATTTGAAAAAAATCTACGGTTGATTGCCAAAGGGTGATTATGATCTAATTATGATGTTGCAGTATATTAAATTATGATCTATACAATTACCAAAGGGTGATTGTATCCATTTAAACCTGGTGGTCTATGATTAAAAACATGAAACCATCCCCAAACGGATAGAATCCCGCGAAATCCCAGGGATTACACCATCATTTCCGAAGATGTCCGACACAAAAATTGTGGTGATTTTCTGGAACACCAACCTAAGTTTTATCCTATGTTCAGACACATCCACATCAAATGGTTGGCATGCATGCATGATAGTCCAGAAGATATCACCATGTTGTTGGTTTCATAGCCATTGTCCGATAAGTATGTACCCGGAAGTAAGTCCCTCTTGACATGGCCATAAAAATCTCACAACATTCCCACTTTCACCTGGCTTTTGTCGCATTTTTTCACTTGCCACTTTGTTCAACATCAACCGAGGCTCGCTCAACTGGAGTGCTCTGCTCTTTGAAGCGAATTCCATTGGTCAGCTTCAACGGTTTCAACCTGAGCTGAACTTGGTAATTGGGCGACGACTGGAATACCCAACATTCAAGGGACTTGGTCAAGTTACGTGGGATAAATGGGGGAGACTGAACCAACAATCAAGGGGCTTGTATATTGGGAATATCATGAGAATATCATAAACGTATATTCTGGGCATTGCCTATTCCGAAATCATTTCAAATCCATCGGCAAAAAATCAGCCGCCTGGTTCAGTCGCGATGTCTCTTTTTGGGACCGACCAAGTGTGGAGGGTTTATACCAGCCATTTCTGGTCAGTGATCTTGTGGATATTTGTGGATTGTTTATTGTTGGGTTTTGGGTTTACCCACTGCCACACTATCTTTGATCTGTCTTTCCAACCTCCAATCCCGGATGCCAGTATGGTCTATCTGCGATATTCTCAATGACCTGACCTGAATTCTATCTGCGATATCTTCCTGAAAAGGGCACGCTTCCATGAGATTCGGGTCGTTTGTATAGATTTAAGAGGTGGGCACAGTTGAAGGCTGTTTGCTGCATGAACAAAAGACACATTTTGTTTGGCATATGTTTGCTATTTGCAACCTCAAAACTGTTCATCAACACCAATCTGCACTCAGTAAAACATCATGTCTTGTTCAACACCTCATTGAATTATCCCAAAATTCCAGTTTCCATAAACAAGCCCTCAAAAACATGCCCTCAAAAAATGACCAGAAATTGAAACACTCCAGGCCATTCCAAGCCCCTGCAGCCCCCAACCGCGACCCAGCCGCAAGGAGTGCAGCGCATCCGCCAGCATCTGCGGGTGCGGCTCAAAGGCCTCCGCATCCTCCGCCATGGCGCGCGCGTTTCACCGGACGCACGGAGCTCGTGGAAAGACGCTGCGGAAAAGGTGGCGGACGGACAGTGGCTTATATATATATACGTATATATTGGTATATATTATATGTATATATTGGTATATATTTCTGCCTTTTTGAGTGTTACTATATGGCCATTCTTGTTTCTGTGCTTGTGGAAGAGAAGGACCGGAAGTTACCGCAAGTTGACCGATTAATCGCCACCTTTTTAGGGAGTGATCATCTAGGGATGGAAGCACCAAAACCCAAGAACTTTCCAGTGGAAAACCGTTTCAAGAAATGAGTCAGATTGCTTGACCAAATACTGAACTGAGAAATTGAAAAGAATTTCAGGGACCAGGGAGCAAAAAAACTATCCCCAACGTTTTGGACAAGTGAAATCAAATCAAAGATCGGGCATGCTCCTAGGAAATCCATAATGTAAATGGCATGAACAATTGCACATAGCATGGCCCTGAATGGACAGACAAACCAAGCCCTACACAGTGCTGTCTGTTTTCATCGATGGTTTCAATCAATCGGAATCACCAACCCAGCCATATTTAGGCCCATTAACTTCAATAGATTGCTGGTACACTTCCAATGTTCAATTTCAACTGGTATTCATTGGTTCTATATTATGCTTATATACCATTGTAATCCATTATATACCCATTTTAGCTGCTAAACTCCATACTTCTTAGTGAAATCTATCCATTTTTGGATGTTTTTGGATGTTTTTGGTGTGTTCTGTGTTCAGTTCATTAACTCGGCGTCTCCCAAAAAAAAACACCAGGTGCCCCAGCCGTGGCCGCGGCACCAGACTGATTGGGCCTGTTTCAGCTCTAAAAAAGAGGACAGTTATTGGGGATCATCTTCCCTATGGATCCAGCCGTACCTTCTTAGAAAGTGTTTGGGGTATGATTTGGGGGGTTAAGTACCTTCTCAAACAGTGTTTGGATCCATAGGGCTTCAAAATCAAAGGAAAATACCCACTTGTTTTGTGGGAAATCTTCCAAATCAAAGGAAAATACCACTTTTTATAGGTTTAGATACGGGATACTCATCGAACTAAATTAGGGTGATTCATGAAAAACAGCCAGCCAGGCTGGCTGTGAATTTGGATGGTAAATTAGTTGGAAACATCTGGAAACATAATCCCAACTTTATCCAACAAACTAAACGCAGCCTGGCAGGTACAGACATTGATTGGAATCATGTGGCTTTCTTGATGGGAAACGAATGGATGTGATACGATTCACTCTATACATTCATGTATGTTGATAGGTATGTATGCATCTGATACATATCCCCTTTCCTGATTTCATAAACTGTACACAATTCCACTGTTGTCAGTCCATATTCGTTGTTTATCAAACTGTCAAACATGATCTCTGCTGATCAGAATTGTAGCTATGCTGATGTAAATATCTATACATGTGTCCTTCGTTTGATGTTATGCTTGGCTAGTTAGTATATCCTCATTCACCATTGTGGTGTGTCTGGAAATATGTAACAATGACTAGTCAGTGAAATTTATGGATACCTAATTGTAACAAACAAACCCATTTGAGAAATGGACATCACCATCCCCATTGACTGATACCCACAGGTACTGACCCAAAACTACTACAACAACCAGCCTTTTGTGGGTCCACAACGCTCTACCGTTCTATGGATTCCTGCGTCCAGAGTCCAGATTTCCAGACCTTAGGTTGGTTGAATCGTATTATGCAATAACTCCCCATGTTTGATGCTATGCAAGTAGGAAAGTAGATCCGCTTCTGCGGGACACGTCCAACATATTTGGCTACATCCCAATGGATTCTCACGGATTGGAACCTCATTGTCCATATGAAAAAAATGCATATTCCCTCCAGGAAGGGCCCCCTAGTTATGTTGGTTGATATTTGCCCCATCTAAGCATAGATATATCATGATATATCCATCATAAATCTTAAGAACAGTTCTTATTCCCAGCAATTTACCCTCCGGTAAACTAACATAGCTATTGAACATGGCCATAGAAATAGTGGATTTACCCATAAAAAATGGTGATTTTCCATGATTTTCCATAGTTATGTAAACTTTTACCAAAGGGTAGCGATTCCCAGCCTGGGTGGAATGTCACGGGGACCATCGAGAGCATGGACCCAGACCTGCGCTGCCATGGGAAATCACAGGGTTGAAGTGGAGCTTCGGAAAATCAATGGGAAACTTCCTGGTGCGTTTTACGTAGGGTGGCTGGATGTGTTGCTGGGGGTTGCTGGGATGAGTACTAGTGATGATTGCTGGATCATTCCCGAAAATTCCCTACGTTTAGCACAAGTAAGGAAAATATGGAGAATCAATGGATGAAAACATATGAAAAAATGAGGTTTTAATCGGCAAATCCATGGGAAACTATGGAGAAATCCTCTAATCCCCCTAAAAAAAAGGATGATCATTGAGGTTACAATCGGAAATCAATGGAACAATATGGACAAATCCTCTATACATGGATGAACATGGAGACTTTAATAGGAACATCATGGGAAAAAAACATTGGAACATATATGGAAACATCCTCTCTAAATGAAGGTTCATAGCTACAACACTCCATGGATGAAAAAATCCAGCAGGCCATGGTTGAAAACTGGGGATTCAACCATGGCCTAACCGGGTGACTTGGATGATCCCGGAACATTTGAAGGAAACCAAGCGAGATTGTGACGAAGCATTCCCATATGCGAACCTTGGTGCTGGTGTATTTACCTACATGACTGGGTGATTTATGGGGTAAATGTTGGTAAATATTCCAGCACCATGGAGCAGATGGGATTGGGATGGAAGTTGGAACTGTGAGACGAAACAGTGAATAAACATATTAATAAGACGCATAGATAAAGCATATATTCAACGTTCTGCAACCATATAACCAATATATATATATATATATATATTATAAGAAGTGCGTCCAGACGTGGACTGCAACACGGCTTCCCCGAAACCTAAAGCATCCTGGCAAACACGATGGTTGCAAAGCATGTTGCACACTGCAGTGTTGCCAATCTTTCTCTCAAAGACTTTGGGAAACAATATAGTTTTCAAGACATTTCCAGACTTTGAAATTTGAAATCCTCTGGAGTAGACGCGGCTAGAAATCGAACCCACTTGAAGAGTGGAATTGAGGGACATTTCATTGGGGTATGACTTGACTCTCAATCGAGGCCGATAGGCGCAGTTGGCCAATTCGAAGTCCTGCTTGGGGGTGCATCCCAAACAAATGAGCGGGTAATAACATGTAACAACGATATAATTACATCGATATACTATGATATACTAGCCCAGTTATATAAATACACATGGAGGATCATCAGTTATGAGTTATGAGTTATAAACCACTTACTACTTGGGATCCTCATTTTCAAGTGCCGCCTTAAGATCCCAACAGCTCACCCTCAAAGGGCCTTCATGAGCGAACGCGCAGCATTCTCAGGGAAACGAGCTAAATCACCATCTCGCCACACCTGGGTGGGATATCGTGGGTTGTCTCGTTGTGCGAAACACATCGCCAAGAAAAAAAATACATTGCCCGCCCCCAAGAAACTCACCCCAAATCGGCCAGGGAAGGTGGAGCTGGACCTATCATCTTATCTAGGAAGCTGTGAAACCGCGAATTGAAATCCTACTGTATGTCCTACTCGGTAACCAAGTCTGCCCATGCGGATTTGTTGTTTAAGAACATTTAATCCCTGTGAATTCCTACCAAATAGGACCAATGCTTTTGGGATCCCAGCATCATTGATGGCAAATGCCGAATCTGTAGTGCTATAGTAGAAATTGTACAGAAGGCTAGTTATGAGTTTTCAAAACAAAAACTCCCGCGGATGGGGAAACAAAATGCAGAATGGCTATCAAAATTCTGGGGTAAATCAGCTGGCTCGCGGGTGAATAGTGCACTTAGTTTTCCATCTGTTCTGCTACATAACCTATTTGAAACAAACTATGAAAGTAATTTGGGGCCGCAAGCTGAACTCAATCCTTCTTCACTCTTGGGGACATGTGAGAGTGGAATGGCCCTCAGTTGCATGTCTGAAGAGGTACAATTTGCAATTCAACAGCCTGAATCGGCAGTGATAATCCATGCAACTCATTGAGATTCACAATATGTTCATGACAACGTTCCAACTGGCAAAAACATGTATGGAATTTTGAACATATGGTACCTCAAATTGCATGGTTAATCACCAGCCATAGAATTCCAAGACTCCATTCTACTGGAAACCAAGGATTTAGCCAAATTTGGTTGCTTCCTGTCTGTCGTTCCCATAAATTCAGGAAAGCGTTGACCAATGTCATACCACAAGTCTCAATAGTAATGGAGTCAACCACCATTTGACGGTTTCCTGAAATAGGGCTGACCCAAATCATTCAATTCAATTTAGACCATTTCAGCATTGAAACCCATGGAATTTCTGGACCTTCCATTTTAAGACACACCCATTTGACTTGCCATGACCAACAAAAATCACCTCGTTGCAGCTAATTACTCCCCATCTTTGCTGCCTCCGGCATGTCTCAGCTCCGGACCGGCAAGAGAAGCCGAAGCGCTTCCGACTGCACGGAGCGGCACAAGAGGTCCTGGGGTGGGGTGCGAAACGGATCAGCGCAGCATTTGAAATGCACCAGGTATATGGGAATTATCCCCAGTTATATTATATATATGTTATAATATATCTATATATATATATATGTATATATTATAGGCAATATAGTGTACTGGTTACTCTTAAGTTATGTCTATGGTTACTGGTTATTAATTAATCCCTATAGTTATAGTTATACATATATAATCATATATATATGTTATTTATGTTATACCCATATACTAACTGGTTACTTTTAAGCCATTTAGCAACTGCTTAGGGTGGGGTCTATTCCTTTCCAGCTACTCAGAAACGGATGGCCTCCTAAGTCTGGCCGATATTGAAGTGACAACTTGGGACTATCATAAATG